TCGTTTGTGGAGTTCCGCAAAAGTTGCACCTATGATTATCATAAGACCTGGTGTTCTTCAGATCAGAGGGCTGCGACACGATTGAGCATAAAACACCTTTCTTGCGACACGATTGAGCATAAATTGTCGGCGTATCAAAGGAAATTGAAATACAAAAGAAAACCAACACGATTGAGCATAAAAAACTCTGCAACGTTGCCATTTTCAATTTTGAACTGTATCGTATAAAAACATTTATTTAAATAATTATAATAAATCAAAATATAACATGACAAAAAAATATCATGTTTTCATAGTCAATATTTAATATGCATGAAAATACTTATGATAGTAGTATAAATAGCTGTCACAGTATATAGATATTTTTGTTAATAATAAAATAATAATAATAGTTATGACTTATGACTTATCAAAATAATAAAATCAAAATATTTATAAATAGTTGTCACATTCATATTATAATACAGTATAATATACCTAGCTAGATTTTTTGATAATAATAAATTAAATTGATACACCTTGGTATCTGCTTCCAATTTGACTTAAATAAATTAATAAAGATTCCGTATTCTTACGATTTAAAAACTGGCTGTAGGCTTGAATATTCAATTCATTTTTTTTTATTTCTTTTGCGGATTGTAATTTTCCAGGCTTGTGTCGAATTGAATTGATCTTAGTCGATGTTTCCGCTTGTGTTTCGATCAATACCCTAACGACTGTATGAACATGGGGGTGAGGTGAATAAAACTGTGAATTGTACGTGCGATGAAAGCTTTCAGCTGCATTGGTCGTTCTAAAAAAAATTAAATAAAACAATACAAATTAGTAAAAAAAGTTTTTATAATAAGTTTTAAAAAATATTGTTAAAAACCTTGGGTTTAGCGAAGGAGTTTCCGCCCAAATATTTGGAGGAAACTGGCAGTGATCTTCAATATAGTTGTGTATAATGTAATCAGAAAATATGAAACCGTCATCATTTGGACAAATTGATATTAACTCGTGAAATGCATCAACTACTTCTTCTGGGGAAATAAACGCCAAACCAAAAAACATTTTCAACCATTTCCCTAGTTCATTACTGTTGTCCATGTATGCTATTCTGAGTGAAGGTTCGCCAACAATCTACAAACAAATTATTATATTTTAGTAAAAAAGCACTATATTATATAACTGTTTCTTACTTTTTTCCACCATGATTGTCCTAAATGAAATCTACATCCAATTATTTTAATATTTCCAAACACGTCTGTAATTGCCTGATGAGCTCCAATTTCAAAATCAACATGAAATGTGTTAATTTGCAAACTTTTTTCGCATAATTTCAAACATAAATTATTTAAAAATTGCCACATTTTAATATAAGTAGACCTAGTTTTATTTGGTAAAAAAAAGTAAACAAGTGGTAAGTAGTATCCATTTTTATATCCATGTATTGTGTACAATTGAATAAAATATTTTGGAGCATAATTAAATGTGCCATCGCCAAAATACTCAGTACAATTATTTGTCATAAATTGTAGATTTTGTTCTGTAGTTAAACATACAAAATTATCATCAGTCGGCATGTAAATGAATTGTTGACCCTTATATTTAAAACATTCTTCATTTTTTAAGTCACTTAATTGATGAATTGTTTCATCCAAAGAAGTTGGTAATTTAGGATAGGTCTGCTTCCGTTTATCATACATTGCTTTCCGTACATTTCTTACATTTTGATTGTTTAAATTTGATGTTGGAGAAGAATTTAAAAGTTCGGTGCGAATAATTTTAAGTGGCCGTGTGTAAATTGATTCTTCAGCTTTTCTTTTGCAATTTTCTCTTAAAACTTGCGTTTCTATTTTCTCAATAGAATTTTTATCGTGATTATGTTGTCCAGCAGTTTCAATCACTTTACGTTTATCGAAACCCGAGAACATTATTGCCGAACATTTATTATTAGTACACCTCCATCTCAAAAGATTGTCTTTTTTTCGCTCTCCAATTAATTTATACTTGTATAAATTAACTAGGGCCAATTCTTTGCCTCTTTCCGATAAAATAATTGTTATATCCATATTTTAAAAAAATAGAAAAACGCACTAAGTATACACGCACTATACACTACACAGGTGATCGAACACTGATATTATTTCTATAATAATTTTGGATTTGTATCTTAATTATCTTATATTTTCCCCCGATGCTAAATGTTTAAAACGTCGTTTTGCTCCGGAACTAATTTATTAATCGATAACATTGTCGATAAAATTTATAAAGCCGATAAAGCTCACGGCTCGCGTCAGATATCATAATAATTGGTGTAATAATACGAGAAAATAATAAATTACAAAATTTTGGCAACGTGAATGTGGCAACGTCGCATAAAATATTCTATGCTCAATCGTGTTGCTAAAAAGGTCTATGCTCAATCGTTTTATGCTCAATCGTGCTTTACCGGATCAGAGCACACGATTATCAATAATCAGCGAACCGTTATCGAATTTAAATTGAATCCGTTATCGGCCATTCGTCCGGCAGATCGCTACAAACGCAATGCACGACCGATAGCCGTTGTCAAATTTCTCTCAAACTCCACGGTTTGTCCTGGCTGGTATTACACTCGATCAAAAAAGGCTGCTCGAGAGCAAAATTTTTCTCGGAAGTGCCCACCTGCTACAATATGCTCCGATCGTTTACACCGTAGGCGTTCAACTATTCAAGTCGACGAAAAAGTAATCGATGACGAAATTACGTACAATTAAAAACATATAGGAGCTCGCTCCATATTGTGTTTGCATGAATGTTTATTTTTTTAATGGTAAGTGTTAATAATTCGAATTCTATATTTAGATATGTTAGTATACCCATTTGACCATTTGGTGGATAATATTTAGTTTTAAAAGTTTGATCAATATTGATAAATTCATAATTTCGTATTTTTATACACCAATATTGTAATTTACTTTATTTAGTAATATCGTAAAAAAAATTACTGAATATCAGTTTTCGATGATAAAATGCAGTTCAATTTTCCACCACATTCAATACATTTTTTAATTTTCATCCTTAAGACTTATCTACCATTTCTTCATTCCAATACATTTTTTAATACTTGCTGTTAATAAAAATGTTGATTCAATAACTTTATAGTTCCATTCCATTAAATAGACTAATATCAAATAAATATAAATGTCTGTTAATTGGTGTAAGTACAGATCTTCACTGCAATAACTAAAAAGAAGATTTTTAGATAACATTTTAAAAAACTATTAGTAAACCATTTATTTTAAACCTCCACTGCTAAAACTTATCGTAAACAAAACTATGGCCGCCAAAAGCTATGACTTATAGAATAGGTTATGATAGTAATTATTATCTTAAAAACTAAATTAATATCTATAAAATATTATTTCAACAATTATTTCAACAATTCAAGCAACCAGGATTGGTTTCGGGGGGTTGTGAATTTGGAAAAAATAAGCATTTTCTGCAGGTGTTTGGTGGGGACAAGAAAGTAAGATATAGTTAGGTTTATGAGTTAAATATTCAAATTACAAATTAAACTGTCTTCACTTCTATTTCATATTGTGATATCACAAAAATAGTATTATACAATCGACTATCGAGAAATCGTAGTAGCAAGGTTATTGATGTTTTAAAGTTGAACGGAACAACGTTACAAAACGTTCCATATCGTCATATTATTATTGTTATCAATTATAATGAGAATAATATTCATATTTCATATCAATCAGCCGTTTTGCGTGATCAAGATAAACCATTTTTTTCTTACGTAAAATTTGTAAAAATCTAAGAAAATTTTCGTGGGAGGGGGGGGTTACAACCCCCAAACCACACCCCTAGTAGCGCCACTGTCTTAATTAATTTAAACTTAAATAGATTAAACAAAATTTAATCTTTCCAGGTTACATACATTTTTATAGTTAAACTCGGCAACAATGGATAATTCAGCTAGTCAATACATAAAATACAAAAAAATTATATTGTAGATTTTGTTTGTTTATATTCATTGATACATAATACTAATTATTTAAATTTTAAATTTCCTATTTTGACAAACAGTTATACTAACATAGATATTTTTAAAGTGAAATCTAACTTCAAGAGCAATTACAATTTGATTCCTACATCAAAATGTTTAAAAATGAAACATTTATGAAGTCTTTTGGACATTTTTTAAACAATTATATTCTTAGAGTGAATATTATAACTGTATCGTTTAAGTTTTAACTTGCGAATTTTATATGGTTCATTTAGAATAATAAATGGTGAATTATATGCAAATAATTGGTTTTTGAGTAAAATATAATATTTCAAAAATACAAAAATAATTCCAGTTTCATAAATAAAATACTTTTCTTAATATTGTATTTTATCTAACTATTCACTAATATTTTAATAAAATTATTTTTTAACTATTGACTTGCTATTAGGTAATAACGTGTCATTTGAATTATAAATATATGTATAGTGAATAAAACGTAACATTACATTTTTAAAAAATAATTCAAGACATGTGAACACATCAATTTTAATAGTTATAATTACTCATACTTCCATAACCAAAATAAATTATTAAAATACATATGAAAAACATTATTAATGTGAAAATAATATACTTGTAATAATCATTGATATTAACAACATAAACACAGATTTATAAATTTATTAAGAGATAATTATATAATTTTACACTACTTGATGTTTTGAATATTTTTGAGATCCACAACGCGATTTTTCTTACTATACAGAGATTAATCAATATATTTTACAAATTGCTATTGAGAAATTTTTGTTTTTAAACTATTTATAAATCATTAATAATGGTAACATAAATGTTTAAAAAGAGTAAAAAAATAAAACATTACTATTATTGAGTACATATTATTATAATAAACAAATAACAATACTCAATATTTAATGAATATCCATAAATATAATTAAATATCAATTTATAATTCCTTGTGCAACATAATTAAATCAAAAAAAAAAAAAATATATAATATTAATACATTTAATACATACAGAGCATTTTAAAAGCTTGGATATATTTTTCATATGATTCCAAAATTTTTGAACACCTATGTACATGAGATTATGCACAGGGCATAGTTTTCAAACGGTCAAATGCTGCTCTTTCTAAATATTCTCTATGGTCAGGGTGAGCTATATTTATTAAGGCATGTGCTCGTTGTCTTAAACTTTTTCCAAACAAAGATGCAACTCCAAACTCAGTGACAACATAATGTACGTGTGCACTAGTAGTAACAACAGTGGCACCTATAAAAAAAAATATATAAAAAACGATTCTCATTTCTGATAAAGTTAAATATTAAATATTTAGTTAAAAATATTACCTTCTTTAATTGTGGGCACAATTTTAGTACTTGGCAAACCTCTTTCATCTTTAGTTTTTGGATTTACCGAACCAAGGGCAATGATCGGTTTACCTTTACCATCATAACCTTCAGCAGCACCTCTAATGAAATCTACTTGGCCTCCATATCCTGAAATAGATTTTAATTTTTAATTATTATTTAGATTTGTAACTATAAAAAATACAATTTATTTACCAGAGTATAATCTAAATCCAATAGAACCAGATACAACTTGTCCAGTTAAATCAACTTCAATACAGGAATTAATTGCAGTCATTTTAGGTTGTTGGGATATGATATGAACATTATTAGTATATGATACTTGTCTCATGCCTATAAAACAATGATAATATTAAGTATATAAATTATTTAATTTAAAGTAATCAATTAAGAAATGTATATTACTTATTAATGGATTGTTATCCACAAAATCATACAATTTCTTGTTCCCCATTAAGAAACTTGTCACAATTAATCCTTTATCTAAATTCTTATTGTGATTGGTTATTACTCCAGAATTTACTAAATCAATAACACCAAGACTGAACATTTCAGAATGTATTCCCAAATCCTTGTGACCAGTAAGACAACTTAGGGTTGCATCTGGAATGGCTCCAATGCCCATTTGCAATGTTGCACCATCTTCGACAAGGTTATCAGCAATATGTTTGCCAATAGCTAATTCAGTGGGATTTGGATCTTTGTGTTCATGGGCAGGTAATTCACGATCAAGTCTGACAGCATAATCAATATGAGATTGATGAATGATAGCTTCACCAAATGTCCGTGGTAAAAACTTGTTAACTTGTGCTGTATGAAAAAAAAAAATTCTTTAAAAATATTTTGGTAAAAATGTATAAGAAAAATAATTTCCTTACCAATTATTATTTTTGAATGACTTAAAGCTGATCGAATGCAATCTACACTCGTGCCAAGACTGCAAAAACCGTGATTATCGGGAGGTGATACCTGAAATAAAAATATTATATAAGATGTCAATGATCAAATTAAAAGTAACGTAAATATAGATCTTATAAATTATTTATAAATATTATTATTTATTTTATATTACATAAAATGTATATTATTAATAAAAAATAAAATTGGCAGCACCTATTAATAAATATGTAGTTATAAAAATATTTTACATATTTAATTTTAGGTTTATCAAGTACATAATACTATAAAATTATATATAAATTAAATTTTCAAATTATAACAATTTAAATTAGTATTTAACACTTCATTTAAGTTTTTGTATTAAAAATTTAATACTGATGTTTACAAAAAAAAAAAGACAAATATAAATATTTTTTTATTAAAATCAGAACAAATTAAATAAAATTAATTTTTGAACTCAGAGATTTATTATTTTTAAGCAACAGAAACCTATACTGACAAATTTAATGACAGATGATACACAAATATTACTCAACAATTAATCTTTAATTTAAAAATATTAATGAATTATAAGTATAAAAATATATATTTTTTGTTTTTATTTATATAATATTATAATTCAACAGTTAAAGTTAATAAAATATTTAAATATAAACCAGGAATATAACACTTTAGGTATATTAATATTTTGTTATTTAGATTCACAGACTTCAATAACTAAGGTTATTATCAAACGTTTGTACAGATATTTTTAAAATATATGTTTAACAAAACAAAAAAAAATAAATAAACTTTTATTTCATGTATAATCTATTTAAATTGAGTACTATAAAATTTAAATGAACGCATTAATTATTTTACTTTAATAATTGAACATTTTAAACCTCATCTTAATACTAACCCTATTGTTTACTGTTTAGTTATAAAAATACATTTATAATTCATAGTTCCAATGTTTAAAATCCTTAACCACATTATAACATAAAATTAAAAACAATAAATTATACAAATACTAATAAATCAATAAAATTATAAATATTTACTGATAATAACACTTAAGCTAATATTTATAGATAACTTTTTTAACCTGACCTTTAGCCATCAAATTATTAAATAATCATAATAATATAACTCATAATAATTATAAATATTTGATAAGTATGTAATATAAAGTATATAATTTATAATATAAATCAAATGTATATATTATTTAATCTTATTATTACATAGAAGTTTATAAAAATAGATTGTTTATATTGTTCAGTAGATAAGTTAGCTATTTACAAAACAATGAATATTATATCAATTTATATTAACAATAGATATTTACAAGTAATAAAATGTTCTACTTTTTAATGTATTTAAAAAATTAATATTAAATAATATTAATTCTAGTTATCATGCATAATAGTTAAATTAATATAGGAATTCTAATATTCTTAAAATTATATTTTAAAAATAAAATATTATTTTTAGAATGTGGTTGTACTTTGGCAATTAGTTAAAAATACAAACATCAACAAAAGATTCAAAACAATAAACTGTACTATGGCCTTTGAACAAATATTTGGTTTAATATTCTTACCGAGATAACTGCTACATCTACTGGTATAATTTTGCGCTCAAATAAGTAGGGAATATCATGTAAAAATATTGGTACAGCATCACCTCGACCTTCATTCATGCTCTTCCTCATATTGGCACTTATAAAAAAAGCCATTGGTCTGAAAATACCTGAAAAGAAAATAATTCAGACTTTTCGCAATGAAAAATTTTATGACATAATATATTAAAAAATTACTCACCTTCACACTCTGGGGCTGAATAAGGTGATTCAAATTCAGTATGAATACTACAAACACGTATATCTTTTAATTGCTTTTGTTTTCCATGATCAGTCATGCTACGTATAACCTCGATTGGGGTAGAAGCAGCACCACCCACAAAAACAGTATCACCTATAAATAAGACACTTATTTTAATTATTATTGAATAGTAAGAGGTTCTTTAATATTCACATAGTAGATATGAATAGTTAGTCAATTAATCAACATTTAAATGAAAAACTAATTTTAGAAAACCATAAAAAATAAGTGAATATATTTTAAATAAAACTACCCAGTGTCAATATTCATAAATTGAAAATTTATTTTATCTTAAGGAACTTATTTAAATGAAACCATTTAAAAATATTCAAAAACCTAATGATAGATTACAGTTAATATTTTAATTATATCAATCATATATGTACATTGTAAGGTTTTTACTAACTAAACTAATAAACAATCTATTAGTCATTCAAATATATTTGTAAGATATTGTACATTAAAGAAAGTCTTTTATCTTTTACTTTTAATTAATACCAAAATTTAATAAAACCGAACACAATGTGAAAATTTAATGAATATAATTAATTTTTAGTATTTATCATCCAATTTTATTACTTTAACCTTAACAACTTTAATAGACTAACCCTAGTGTTACACATTAAATTTCTAGCAATTAAATTTTACCAAAAGCCTATTCCGAAATTATGAAAATTTAAATTTAAACTCTTACTCCGGTTAATCTTGGATTATTACAATAAAAATTAAACAATAAAAAAAACTGAAATTTATACTACAGTATTATTATTATTACTAATTGATTAATTATTAAAATAAATATGTCTGTAAAGTTATACAAACCTGATTTACCAAATAATCAATCAATTAGTAATAAGAATAATACTGAAGTGCAAATTTCAGTTTTTTTTATTGAATAATTTTCCTTATATATCAACATAAATTGAAAATTTTTTTTTTTTATTAATAATTCTTAGTAACAATCAAATCAGAAACTCTAGAGCAATATTCATTGGTTAGATAAGACTGTGTAATCATATGATCCCCAAGTCTCATTTAGTCCGGGGTGTGTTATGAACCCAAATATTTTGTGAAATCTTAATTCAGACAAAATTATATTTACGCACGATTAATTATTATTAATATATTTATTATTATGTAGTTATAATTAAACTTTAAGTACACAATTATATTGATACTAATTCTAATACACAATGCTCTACTAATTTTTACAACTCTAATGCTCTGATCCCATAATACGACTGACTGCCTCCTCCTTAGTGTGTTCGCCTGTACGGCGAGCCGGACAAAATTCCTTCGTCTGCAGATTTCGTTGGCTCGTCGTCGGCCAACACACTATTCCTGACCGTCTAAATCCATATACAATATTATTATAATATTCAGGGGTTCATAACAATATTGTAATAGACTAAGTAACTACTTATGTTAACATAGATGGACAGAATTTCGGGGCCTCGGTTGTTTCAAAATTGAATAATTTGAACACGAAAATGGATCGTATTTTATCACAAGGGTAATGGATTAAAACCTAACCGTTCCCAAAATCCTACAAGTCATAGTGAAGCTATTTCGAAAAGTATGAGGAAAAAAAACCAATGGTTTTTGTACATCGTGCGAAGAACGCAACTACGCGCGGTTTACATAACAGGTGACGATTTAAATACATTAAAATAGAGAATGACCGGTTGCCTAGTCAAGTTATGTAAAAGTTCAAAGGCCAAGAAATCAACGTAATTTAATAGTCGGGCGGCCAACACTTGTTAGCAGACGGCAGGAAAGTCGTGGAAAAAAACAAAAACCTACGTGCCAATCGTTTTATTGACGTTGTTCCGCGTTAATTTCTTTGAAAACCGTGGCCGGAAATTAATGATCGGTGCACCGGACGCGATGTTCCTGTCCGCCGACCGGACATGGCTATTAATAGGCGCGCGAGGCCGAAAAGGTTTTTACCTGATTTGATGCACTGGACGGCTTCGTCGGCGTTCACCCATTTGGGTTCGCGGTCCAACACCTGGGACACTTGCGGCGTGTACGTGAAATAGGTCTTGGGCCCGTTACGGCCGGCAATAGAGTTCCAGATTCTGGCTGGGCCCCGGGCTACGGCCGCTGTGAAACGGATCCTGCGCATTGCCGACGACATGACGAGGATAGCTGAGAGGAGCGCTCGGACGAGAGAAGCGACTGCGGGGTCGAACGGCAAGTACAGCGGCGCGAATCGAATATCGTCTACGGCGGTCGGGTCGCAGCGGAGCGTGCGGGCGGGCGGCGCGTTCTCGAAGACGATGGTCGGATAAGACGGATTAAGCGGTTTACGCCGATCGGGCGTCGTGTCACAACGTAACGCGAATGACGCGCGTCCGCCGCCGTTAGTGGGTCGCTTGTTACGGGGCTCTTGATAATAACACGACGTACAGCTGGTGCTGGCGACGAACGCGCGGGAGGAAAGGGGTGGTGAAAAGGAGGAGCGCGATTGGACGGTGACGTCGACGCGGAGATTCCGTAAACGCGATTAATGTTCGAGCGAGACCGCGTACGACCTGCGTCGCAAAACGTGGATAGGGGGAAAAAAAAAATAATAGGAAAACAAGAGAAAACACAAGAGCGTTTCTCGGCTTGTCGACGGTTCGCACCCGACGACGGTCGACGTTGACCGGCACGTGAGCGGATCGCCGGCAGCGCAACAACAATAACAACAGTATTTCCCGGAAACGCCCGGACCACGGTGCACGGGATACGCGCGGTGCCGTGTTCCGGGTTCGTGGTCAATCGAAAATATTATCGTCGAGTAATCGTTTCGCGGGATTCGTCGTCTTCTTCCTGGTGCTCTCGATTGCGACGTTAATTACAACGCGTCTAATTATAAAACTCAACGGGTCAGTACAATGCGCTGCGTTAACCCGACGGCCTGACCTCTGGATAATGCAACAGTACCGCGGCCCGCGGTACAGTTCCAACGCCGTAACGAGCGCCGAGGAAATATTTCGTTTCGTCGTTACCGTTCTTATCGTTTTCCCGGCGTCGGACCAACCGACTTGCCGTTGTCTCGTTTCCCTCGGCCCTCGTCGTCCGAACGCACTGACACGCGGACGGTTTGCCAAACTGTTTAGACGTGTTAACACGAGTGTTGTTGACATTTTGTTGATAACGCCAGAAGAAGTGTGCATGGTGTAATTACTCGATGGGAATTAGACGACGTTCGTCGATCTGCTGATGAGACGTTTTTAAGTACTTATTTTTTGATGGGTTCTTTCGATTTTTAACCTGTTAAAAATACAGTTTTTACTATCAACGGTCGTTTCGTCGAACCGTACTTGAACGCCACGATACACAGTTACTTGATAAAAAAATGGTGAGTCACTTAGTTCTTTTAAATTTCTCACGTGTCGTACGTCATTTTTTTTCCGTTGAAATATAATAAGTATTTCAAAAATGATGGGGTAAAACCATAACCTAAGTGATATTTAGAATATCAATATGATAAAATTCACTGTTGGTAGTATCTAGTAAAACAGAAAATTATTACAAGATATTACCAATAAGCATTGGTTGTATCCGTTTGGATATTTGTTTTTATAATAGGTTATTTATTCATTGAGAGAAGTCAATTACTTTTAAAGACTTTAATTCAATTTTTTCTTATTGAACAGATTTTATTTAAAAACCGTAGAATTTTACTTTATTCTTGTTATGTTTTTCAATAAATTACTGCCATTAAAACACCTAATATACCACCATCGATGCCAATAGCTACCATGAAAAATTAAAGTTACTGGTCTAGTTGACTGCCGCCAAGAAAGTATTCCTCCTCCTGCAACTCACGTTTAGTTGATGCCCGTCACTTACATCTCTCATATTTTCAATGTTATAAAATGTATATACTACAGATCAAAAATGATATTTGAAAGATATTTTAAAAATTATATAATATAATATAAATGTATGTAAAATGTTTTATTTGTCAGTTTTTGTGGCAAAGTAATTAAACAACCGTGATCCATTTAAATAAATTCTTAAGGACATAGCAGAGTTTTGGCCACCTGTATAATTTTTTATTATTTACCGTATTTATTTATTCTTATATATTATTATATTATTTATTTATTTTTATTTTGATTGCCTGCATTTTTATGTATGATCATAAATGTACAATGTATAATTAATTTTCGTGAATTTTTTGATAAATTATTGATTATAACATCAAAAACACAAGAGGTGAGAAATGTAAGTAGAGGGCTTCAACTAAACCTGAATAATTGAGTCAACTAGAACAATACTGAATAAAATAATGCTTACTAAAATTATTAGATTATTAAATTATATTATCATTACTACTTCAATGTACTATTTTAATATAACCATTGGTTCTCAATACATTTATAGCATTTAAAATATTATTTTGATTATTTTTGCTTAAACTCCTATATTATTATGTTTCTAGAGTGGTTTTAAAACATTAATTGAAGGATCTCGTGCTTCTAATAGTTTACCAACTGGAGTAAATTTGAATTTCTATAATAGTTACCCTAAATTCAGAAAAGTTATTTCAACACGTCAAAATCACGTTCTCAAACTGTATGTATTTAGCAAATAATACAATTTATTATTAAAAAGTACTTACATTTATTTAATTAAATCATAGAATATCTGCGTTGTTGAAAAATCAAAAGATTCATGGAAATATTCGTGGTCGAGATACTGATCATCAGTTTGAACTTATTGAAGAAGGAAATGATACAATATTGGATCGTGTAGTGAGTTAATGCAATAATATTCTATATTTTAAAACCAGTAATAAAAAATAATTTGTGTTTTTAGACTTACAATATTGATGTGTTGAATGGTTCTTCTAAAAATGTTGGTGTGTCTGTTATACCTAAAGCTGTTGTGTCAGAGTCTAATGATAAATCACAAAATCAGAAAAAGATTTTAGTTCATGGACGTAATGTAGAAAGACCACAAATCAAATTTAAGATAAAAGTGGACAATAGACCAGTTCCATTTAAACCTCTTCTTAATTGTAAACCAAATAGTAAAATACCATTAGATTTGTGTCTAGAAACAAATGAAGATGGAACCTTGTTGTAAGTATTATATTTTTAAATGAAGTTCATATTTTTATTTATAAAAATAAATTTATATTTTAGTTATAAGCATCCATACCATTTTGAATTGGATGAGTTTAAAGTACCAGCAGAACATTTAAAAGTATCAATAGTTAAAAAACCTACTTCATTAGAAGAGACAAAATTTGTAGAAGTATATACAGAGGAACAATTTAATTTAATGGTTTCTGAATTAAGAATTGTTCATGAATTAGCTATTGATTTAGAGGTTTGAAAAAATATTATTAGCAATGTTTTATGCTCTATCTTATTTTATTTATTTTTCAATTTAAAACAGGCACACAGTTATCGTACGTACCAAGGTTTTACTTGCTTAATGCAAGTGTCCACTCGAAATGCAGACTACATCATAGATACATTAGAACTTAGGGACAAAATGCAAGTTCTCAATGAAATATTCACAGATCCTGCTGTAGTTAAAGTAAATGCTTAAAACTACAACTATAATAAATACATAGTATATTAAATTTTGAATTTGTATTCAGGTATTTCATGGAGCAGATAGTGATATTCTTTGGCTACAAAGAGATTTAGGTCTTTATATCGTCAACATGTTTGATACTCATCAAGCTGCCAAAATACTAAATTTTTCTCGAAAAGGATTAGATTTTTTATTAAAACATTATTGCAATGTTGATGCTAATAAAGCATTTCAATTATATGATTGGAGAACAAGGTAAAAACAAATTGTTACTAATAACCTAATAAAGTATATTATTGTATAAATATTAATTCATTATTGTTGTTTTCCTTTTTTTTTTTTTTTATAGACCATTATCACCTGAAGCCATATATTATGCCAGGAGTGATACACACTATTTGCTTTATGTATATGATATGATGAAAAAAGATCTTCTGGCAATGTCTACTAAACAATGCAATTATATTGAATTAGTATTTCAACGTAGCGTTGAATTGTGCAAATTGGTAAATATGAATAACATGATATTTGTATTTTTTTTTTTGTAATTATTTTAAATGTGACTTTCAGAGGTATGAAGTAAATATATTGCATGATCAAAGTCATATGAGTATGTATAAACGAAGTAAAAAGATGTTTGACATTCAACAAATGTATGCACTCAAAAGCATTTTTGCATGGAGAGATAAGTTAGCAAGAGAATTAGATGAAAGCCCTGGGTAAATTTTGAAAAAAATATTTAATTTATGTATTCATGTATTATATTTTATTCAATTCTTATTTAAAGGTACATTCTTCCAAATCATATGTTACTTAAAATATCAGAAATGTTACCAAAAGAATCTTCTGGTATACTGACTTGTTGTTCACCAATACCTCCATTAGTCCGTCAGTGTTTACACGAAATCCATCATATTGTCAAGCAAGCAAGAGAACAATCTTTTGAAAATGTGAGTTTTATTTTGATTTTATGATTTTTATTATTTAATTTGTATAAATGTTGTAATTGTAATAATATTGTCTTTGTTTAAAGACTGAAAACTATAGTGAAAACAATAGCTTCATGCAAGATGCCAAACATATAGACATTGACCTGATTAGTCTACACGATTATTCTAAATCTAAACAGAAAGTGGAAGAATTTTTACCAACTTTGTTGGGTAATTTAAATAAGTTTAATGAAAAACTTGATTTTATATACTCAAAACCACAAGAAATTACGATTTTTCAGGTATATACAAGTATAATTATTTTATTTTATCATATTAATATTGTATTTTGTTTTTTTTTTTTCCAGGATGTTAAAAAATCAGTAAAATGTATTGGTCTTACAAATATTGTGTACAAACAACCATATGAACTTTATTTAAAAACCATAGAATATAAAAATATTCTAAAAAAATCAGCGGAGAAAAAAGAAGAAAATATTGACAGTAAGGAATCATTAAATACTAGTAAACCAATGGAATGTCTAGACAAGCTTTATCTAAAAAATCAAGTATGTTTATAATTAACAATAAGGTTCTCATAAAAAATAAAATAATTTAGTTTTATCATGTTTAAGATAAGAGAAAATTTGATTAAGAAATATTTTTTTGAATTTATATAGCACCTCAGTTTTCTATGAATTTCATTTTTTTATATTTAAAAAGTTATACTATTGTAAAAACTACATTTTGTGGTGTTTATTTAAAAGCCATTTGTATAAAAAATTAAATAAAACCTTGTTATATTCATTATAATATTTTGAATACATTTGAATATGATTTTTGTAGATTAAAGAAATCAAAATTGAAACTGATATTGAGCCATCTAATATGAAACAAGAGGTTCAAATGACTCTTATAAAAAAAGAAAAAATTGATGATCAGTTATCAAGTGCTGCAAGTTCATCGACACAAAAACCTGCAAATAATTCAAGCAAAAATAATAACTTTAAGCCTCATAATTATGAAAACACTGATTTTTCAATCTACCACAATCAATCAAAAGATGTTTTATATATAGCCAAAAGACTGCAAAAGGTAAATATTTCCAGAGGTTTAATTGCATTAAATATTAATTTATTGATATTACATTTCCTTTGCTCTTCTATTCATGATGACTTGTTACATTATTATTAGAATTTGTTATTTGTTGAAAACGTCTTGTAAATTATTTTTCATTCAAAAGATACAATATTCCTATACTTTCTCTGTTATTAAGATACCAATAGATTTTAATTTCTTAATTTGTTTCAGAAAAATAACAAATCAAAAAAAAGAAGCAAACCAAAACGATTACAAAAAACTGTATAAAATCAGATACATAATGAAAAAAAAAATACTATCTATTCTAAAATATTAAGTACAGCAATTATTTCAAGTACATTTTTTTTTTCTAATATGGATGTATTTCATTTTTAATAAAAATAATCCACAAAGAATGTATATAATTATTTGTTTGTACTTAAATTTATTGAATAGAAGTATGATGCTTGAATAATTTTCCCAAATCCAACATGTACTAAATTAATGAAAAAAATGTTATATATAAAAAAAGAAGTTATTTATGCTTTTAAAAATATTTATATAAGCACTTGAATATACACTAAAAATATCAAAATATGCGAAAAAAATATATCATATAAAAAAATTTTAAACTTATTATTAAAATGCTGATTGCGTCACTATATGATACAAATAAATATGTAATTTAAACCAAAAGAAGAAGAATTAGTTAATTAACATAAATTAATTACAAATACAAAAATTAATATTATTATTATTATTAAGAAAAATGTTTTAAATACTACGGAACTGAAAGACTTAAAAAATCAAAATAGCAGTTATCTTTAAAATATGCAAAATAAAATTTCATATTTAGTTTCTTAGTTATCTGAAACAAATATATTGCTCACATAGATATTTCTAGGACCTCTTAAAAAAAAAAAAAAAAGTAATTACTATATATTATGAGCCCTGTTTATCACTCTCAGTGAACTTTTATATCTACTTACTTGTTATTCAGAAGCCTAGCAACTGTAAAGTACAGGATAAATAAATTCTTGACATTTTCAACATTCAAAATTACCAATTTATCGGTTTTCTTTATCACATATTTTGTGAATAGAATAGGCTTTACTATTTAAAAACAAATAAAAAATAGTTGATACTATAACCCATAGCTATAATCATAGGCGTGCGCACGGGGGTGGCCGGGTGGGCCGCGCCCCCCCTGCGGACTCTGGCTTTTTATTTAATAAATGTATATCTATACTATACAAGATAGCGAACATTTTTACATTTTACATGAATAAATGTAATAAAGTTATTAGTTATTAATCAGACTAATCAGAACTTGCATATAATATAAAAATTGAAGATGTAATTGATACATTCAAAAACCTTACTCCCGTGGACAAAAGGATGGAGTTGTAAATAGTATAATAATATGTAAATAAGGATTTCTTAGATATAAATTGTGTAAATTTAAATAGTATTTATTTTTATATTTGCATATTGAATTAAATAAATAATTTATAAAATTTAAAATATTTAATTATACTAGTAGTCTTTAGTACAAGAATCTTTGGTTCACTTTTTTTAAGGGCGCACGCCTATGGCTATGATAGCTACTGAAAATGCGAAAAATCCTTTGCAGAATATTTTTACTAAAGGATATTTTTAGTAAAGGACGACCTGATGAGATTAAGCAATGGAGCAAGTATTGAGGATGCAGAAGATCGAGAACTTTGGAGAACTTTGGTAGAAGCTGTGAAGCGCCTAAATGGCGCGTAAAGCAAAAAAAAAAAGAATATTTTTACAGTTTCTTCTCGTCCTCCTTTCTCCCAACTATTTTAAGTCAGCCACCCTTGTCCTACACCTCCACTTATCTCGATTTTCTACATACCTTACACACACGCCAACAGCCATCATATAATTTTAAAAATGTATTAAAAAATTATTAATAATAAATAAATACATTTATTTAAACGAATATGTAAGATAGTATTGGTGTAGTCTTTGGTGGACAAGATGAGAGAAAATAGATTAAGATGGTGTGAGGTGCATGTGATAAGACAAGAAGAAACAAATGAAGTAAAAGTTGTTATGAAAATTAAAGTTAAAAGGTAAAGGGGAAGAGGAAAACCAAAAAAAAATTATTTGATACAATTAAAAATTATATGAGGACCGTGTATACGTAAGGCATGTAGAAAATCGAGACAAATGGAAGTTTAAGACAAAGGTGTCTGACCCCAAATAGTTGGGAAAAGAGAAAAAATATAACATATATGATTTTAAATAGTCGTAGTGATCTGATTAACAAAATGTTTTTGAAATTTGAACCATAGGGTTTTTTTGGTAGTATATTACGGAGAGCTTGTTAATGTGCATAAGCAAATAGACCGGAATGATAGAATATTTTGCATACCAGTTGGATCCAGTAGTGATTCGTATTAGGATAACCAGATAACCATAATAAACTATTTTATAATAAGTATTTTTAGTTTAATATTAAATTTGAAAGTTAAAGACGGTTCAAGGCAATCTGAATCTATCTACCCTGTTAACCAACTACACTTCACTGCTATTGTTATAAATATACATTGAATTTTGGATTTGGGATGCAAGTGCTCACTTATGACTAAAAATCAAGAGCAATTAATAAGTAGAAATTCAAGAGTAGCAGACCAATAATCACTGGCAGACCAGTCGCTTTCAGGTAGTTGTCAAACGTTCTAGTTTGAGTACAGTGACCTGGCGTCCCGACAATTTGCTTCAGGACAGACAATTGTCCAGGAATGGGACTGCAAAAATGTACCAGTTTGTATTTTATTCAATTGTAGAATAGCATTACTTAGTGTAGCTACTCCCAGCTCAAGGCTTTAGAGTACAGCACATTTTTATGTAGTTTCCATCGACACAAATCAATTTGTACAGTACAATAAAATCATTTTTATTTGCACCTACTCAGTGCCGCAATAGACTCGAGTGTATTGCGTGTGTCAAACAAACGGGCCCATGACCCTAGCTTATAATAGGGCCCAATAGTAATATTTTAAGAATATATAGAAAGCAAGAGAATTTAACCATTTTGTAATAATTTATGGAGATTGAAAAATATTTGATTGACTTGTTTTGTACACATTATCGTACATCGTTTTTTTTACAGCCTATATAATTGGAATTCAAAATAGTTTGGTAACAAATATGGTACGTACGGTTTCTCTGGAAAGTCTGGATGCGGGGGAAGGCATTTATTTTACTTACACACGAGCCCAAGTTAGTGTAGTTGCAGCACTGCACCTACTCTTAATTGATGATCAAAGTTCACATTGAAATAAATGGTATTAAGTAGATTTAAACTAAAAATACTTTATATTACATTTCTTATATGCGTACTGCAAATATAAGCATTAAATATTTAATTGTTAGTATAAAATATTTATACCTAATACCAGGAATAATGAGTTACAAAACTATAGCTGGTGATGTATTTTACTATATTATTTTTTATTTCAATGTATATGACCAGAAAACAAAATTGTATTTAGCTTTATAAATACTAAAAAAAAAAACAAAAATATTTTTGGAATGAGTTTTTATGGTCTTAAAATAATTTGTACAATTTCCAATTCAACATCTATGCAATAATCTAACATGTGAGTAATGGAAAAGACAACCTATTTGTACATAAAACACATGAATTTAAAAATATGTAAAAAAAACCTAATTGCTTTACTAATAATTAATAAATTTGATATTTATAAAATAAAACATCGAGAACAACATATAACTAGGATAGAAAAATATTATGTCACACACGCGATGTCAGTCTTTGTGATTTCTAAATTAAGTGTTACATCATGCCACCCATTCCTCCCATTCCTCCCATACCACCCATTCCACCCATGCCACCCATACCAGCTGGTGATGGGTCATCCTTTTTTGGTAACTCAGTTATGACTGCTTCTGCTGTAGTCAACAGAGATGCAACACCAGCAGCATCAGTTAAAGCTGTCCTCACAACCTAAAAAAAAAACAAATAATAATTTCTTTAAAATATGAATACATTCAATTTAATTTTGATCATATTAGTATAATTGAATAGACTAAATTGAACAAATCAATGTTAAAATCCTATCCATCACTTAATAAGTTAGAGCTTATAAGAATCAAATAAAACATACTATGAACACAAATTGTCAAATAATGATATTTAAATAAAGATTAAAAATATACATGTTTATAAACATTACATTTACCAAGTCACTATAAACATTAACAGTTATAACAGTAATAATCAATAATATATTTAGATTTTAATAACTGAATGAGAATATAGAAACGAAGAATGCAAATTGAGAATATACTTTAGGGAAATCATATATAACTAATAATTCATTATTTGAAACTCAATTCCTAACAAAAATAAAAATCTTTTAATCACATTATTTTATAATAATTGTAAAAATATATATAATATATTTATATTGTAATAAATAATTATTATTTTTAAATCTTGATGTTATAAAGGTTAAAATTTAACATTATAAAAATTATTCTAATTAGATACATAAAATGGTTATTTCTGTATTAAAAACAAGATGATATTCATAACTCAACAATGAATGCCAAAGTTTAAGTTAGATGAAATTAAAAAAAATTTCTCAAAATTAAAAACCAATACTTCAATGAATGAACTAATTATAAAAACTCACTTTGGTTGGATCGATAATTCCTTTTTCAATCATGTTTACATATTCATCATTTAATGCATCATATCCAAAACCATCTTTACCTTCAGATACTTTAGCAACAACAACACTACCATCAACACCAGCATTTCGAGCAATTGTCATACAAGGCATGGTTAGAGCCTTACGCACAATTTCAATGCCTAGTAAATAACCATATAATAATTAACATTGTCCCAAAATTCAAATTTTTCATCACTACTTACCAATTTTTTGGTCTGCATTTGCTACTTTAATAGTATCCAGTGCAGAAGAACAACGAATAAGAGCAGTACCACCTCCAGGAACAATACCTTCTTCAACAGCTGCACGGGTAGCATTAAGTGCATCAGTAACACGATCTTTTTTTTCATTGACTTCTACTTCACTACTTCCACCAATTTTTAACACAGCAACACCAGATGCTAATCTAGCAAGTCGTTCTTGTAATTTTTCTTTTTCATATTCGGATGATGTATCCTTAATTTGATCTCTAATTTGCTCAGCTCTTTGTTCAATGTCAGATGGTACACCATTTCCCTAAGATAAATAATTTTTGGTTAATATTATCAATAATTATATAAATCAGCATAGAATATGTAAAGAAAAACTTACTTTTAAAAGCAAAGTGTCATCTTTGGTAATAACAACTTCCTTCACTTGACCAAAATCACCTGCTTTAATATCTTCAATTTTTATTTCATTACCTTCTTGACCAAATACAACACCTCCAGTTGCAATAGCCATATCAGTTAACGTAGATTTGCGATTATCTCCAAATCCTGGTGCTTTGACAGCCGCAACATTCAGACCAATCTTCAATCTAAAATGTACATAATATAAATATATAAATAGATAGTAATATAATTTATAATAATTTAAAAATTAATAAACCTTATTTTCTACCCTATTATAATTTAAAGTTTAAATAATCTAAAAACACTTAATGCAAAACCAGAGTTTATATAAATTAATAAATTGTTAGCACCAAGTACCTATTTAAAACTAGCATTCCTGTAACTTCACCATCTAAGTCTTCAGCAACAATAACAAGTGGTTTGCGCTGAGCATTAGCTAATTCTAAAGCAGGAATTAATGATTGAGCAGAAGAAATTTTTTTCTCACTGAATAATACTAAAGCATCTTGGAATTCTACTTTAGCACCTATAAAATTAAAATAATGTTATTGATTAAAGGTCACTTAAACTGTCAAGAAAAAAGTATTAAAATCAAAAATTATTTTTTAGCTTACCCTTAGTTGAGTTAATAAAATATGGTGAAATGTAGCCTCTATCAAATTTCAAGCCCTCAATAATTTCTAACTCATCTTCTAAAGTCTTTCCATCTTTTACGGTTATAACACCATCTTTTCCTACCTAACATACAAGAAAAATATAAAATAAATAAATATTTTAATTCACAAATTAGTAAGTTAACCTTTTCCATAGCAGAAGAAATAAGTTTTCCAATACTAGTATCTCCATTGGCAGAAATAGTGGCAACTTGTGCAATCTCATCTGCAGATTCCACTTTTTTAGATAAAGTACTTAAATGCGTTTTCACTGTATCAACAGCCAACATAACACCTAATAATCCAAATATTTAATTAATAATATTACCTTTTTTAATAAGTTCTTATTAATAATTACCTCGTCTAATTTCAACAGGATTAGCCCCCTTAATAATTTTTTCAAATCCTTCTTTAGCAATAGCGCGTGCTAATACAGTAGCTGTTGTGGTACCATCACCAGCTTCATCATTGGTATTATTTGCTACATCTTGTACTAACTTGGCACCAATATTCTGGAATTTGTCTGCTAATTCAATACCCTTGGCAACAGTCACACCATCTTTGGTGATTTTAGGGGAGCCCCAGCTTTGTTCCAAGATTACATTACGACCCTGATGGATTTAAAAGAAATTTTAAATTATTCCAATTACAAAAAATGAACATACTTAGCTGCTACTACAAGCTACAGTAAACATGAATCAATTATTAAATGCTGCAATTAAAATACCATTGAGTTTTAAATAAGCTATTCCCCAACACAGTATTTGTGTAAACTGTTAAATACTATTTACACTAATTATATTTTAGATCCCTTTAATCAAGATTGAGGCCAGGGGAAGGTTAGGGATCAAACCCCTCCCTTTAATAAATAATATTCAATAATAGAATTAAATGATTTTAAATGCATATTACATCTAGAATTTTAAAATTGCTAGTCAAAAGTCATATTTATACTCTTAATATCTACCCTCAAAAATATTTTTCTGGCTATGGCCTTGCCTATCCTCCTCTCTCTTTTTAGCCTTAGGTATACAATCAACCTTTTAAGGTTTCCAAATCCTACTGGTATTTTAGATAACAAAATCGCAGACACTCTAGCAACTTCATGTTATAACTATGTCCCCTCTCCAATCAAAATTCCCTACTCCGATTTTACAACCAATCTCAAAGCGTACACTTTGAGATTGTGCAATCGGAAATGGTCAAACCTACCTCCAATATAATTTTCCTAGTTTCATAATATCCCTATTTCCTGTAAAGTCATAATTCCCTTTTCTCGCCTCCGGTATGGCCACAACCACTTCTCCGTCCACTCATTCCATTTATCTCTTAATAATTCTCCCTTCTGTACTCGGTATGTTGATCCTGCAATATGCAATGCTTCCCATCTCCTCTTCAATTTTCCAAACTTTTCACTAAACATCAGCTTCCTTCTAATATCTGTTCTTCTATTAATATTCTCTTTACCTTCCCACATATTTTCCAATCTCCTGATACATTCCTTAATACTTCCATCTTTAACTTCTTCCTTTAGAAAGCTTTTTAATTTAATTATGTTTTATTTTCTAATGTTGTTTTTCTAGTTGTTTTATGTAGGTAAATTGTATTGTTAATTTATAATCGCTGAGGCAAATATTTTAATACACCTCTTAAAATAAAAATAAAATATATATAGGTACAATATAAATATATTTCCCTTTAGATTTCAACTATCATAACAAGACTATACAAACATAATAGAAGTATACAAATAATGGACTAATTTACAAACTTTTGGCCCCATGGTAACAGCGACAGCATCAGCAAGGATATCAACTCCTTCAAGCATGAGTTTTCGAACTTCTGGACCAAATTTAATATCTTTGGCATAATTCCTGGCAAGATATTTAGGGACATTGTTTCTGGCAAGAGCAGATAGGCGGTACATCTGTAAAATTTAAACATAAATTCATATTTAATGTAATTGTTATTAAATTTAAAATTAAATATTTAATATGCATCATCATAAGATAAAATTTATTTAAATAAGAACAAAATTAAATTATAAAAATAAATATAAGTAAATTAAAAAATAATAAAATCAAAGATATAAAATTAAAATACAAGTGCTACTACATGTAGATAAGAAAGCAGGTATATAAAATTTAAGAATTAAAAGTCAATTAAATATTTTAATTATTATAAAATACATCATATATCTAATAAATATTAAATAAAAGAAAAATAAGATAAAAATTATTATCCAGCCATATTAATGATTATACAGTAATTATTGTGGCCAAAATGCAATCGTTTGTAAATAAAGTTCTATCAGGTACCAACATTTTCCTTTGGTTACTTATAAAACAAATAATCATTATATTTTTGATAAAACAACAGGTCATGAGATATAATTGTATACAAATTAAATGTGAAAAAAGATAATTATTATGAAAGTAATGGGTGAATTATTTGATAATCCTTAAAATTAAATTAAATAAAAATTAATCTAAGTAAACGTAATAAATAATTTAAATTTAACAATTATGAATAGAAAAATAAAGAGAAAAAAGTAAAATTTAGCAAAAAATAATTAATAGTTAATTTTAAGAATATATTATATGAAAACCACATGGGTATATAATGTAACCTCAACGTAAATTTATAAATCATGGTAGGCTCACTAAAAAATAGGATATAAATCTATGAGAAAATAAACCATAATTAAGGAAGCATAGGTAAATGACAACAAAATCAGGTTAGATCTATTGAAATAAAACTCATGATGATGAAAGCCGGTCGACACAAGCAAGGTTGGAAATGGAATTCAGAATCATTATCTAGATATAATTTGGAGCATACTTCGAACAGAAAAACCTTAAAATTACTTATACAACATACCTTGATTAATTCGAAGGATTCACGGTATATAAAAACTGAAAAACTTAGAGCCGTATATGATAAACGATGGTAATTCAAATGGGAGCAATGTATATTTAAAGACTGAACAAAGTGACGAAAGAATTAAAAAGCCGGGTACCGGGATTAAAGTGAGGAGTTCTATGGAAATTTCTAGAAGAATATTAAGTTCAACTAATACCAGTGTTGCCAACAAATCAACGAGAAATGTTTAAGCCTTATCTCATATGGTGAAATTTAAAAAATAAAACCGGCCACAAACTTATTGACAACTAACGGTTCAAATATCTAAATCAGCGGTTCTTAATCATAGGGTCGCGACCCAATAATTTTAAATGGGTCGGATAAAAATTTAAAACGTTTGTATAATATTTTTATTTTCAAGTCTTATAAATAGTAAATGAAACCTCATGTACGTTGGTTATCATGAAGAAAAATTTTAACGAGATTTTTTGAATTAAGAACTGAAATAGAAGTATTTTTAAAAGAAAAAAATTCACTGTAATCCATCCATTTTCAAGATATAATTTGGTTGACAAAAGTTGCGTATCTTTCAGATATTTTTTCGTTATTAAATGAGTTAAAATTGAGTATGCAAAGGCCATTAACTAATATTTTTACATGTTGTAATAAAGATATTAACTACAATCAAAACCAAATCAAGAAACAAGCTTGATGTCGAACCCACGATGCGTATTTCACTTATTAACTCTATAGAAGAACTCTAAATTGATTCATTTGTAAAGCAACATCAAGACCAAGGAAGTCATCAAATTAAAAATTATTTAAAAAAATACAATATTATTAAAAGAAATGTTTATTTTTAAATATAATGTAATTAATATTATGACTTGTTATGAATACAAGTAATATGAGTAAAAAATGTTATTCAATTAAGAGTACCAAATAGTTATTTTTTATTCTGCCATTGACTATTATTTATAAAAATATCGCAGGAAAAATTTAGTAAATATCTTGGGTCGCCACTATACAAAGGTTAAGAACCGGTGGTCTAAATATCGTTTACCCATGGTGCCGAATGAAATTGAAGTTGCCGGTTCAAAGAATTATATTTATCCACCCACCTATTCCAATTTATCAAACCTTTCAAATCTCCAAACATTTTTTATCGAGCATCTTTAAATAAATATACTGTTAATTTAAATTATTTATTTTTACTATTTTAAAAAGAAAACATTTCCCAACAGTATATAAAATAATTAATTTGATTTTTTAAATTATTATTTTTTTATTTATTTTTAATTTTACAATTTTCTTGGCAGTTCAGTTGAAATACTTGAAGTACGTATTTGGTACCGCTATCGTATACGATAAACCTAATCCATAATGGAATAGTTACATGGTGATGTACAGGGGTGGATTGAGGCCCTGAAGGCTTTCATAGCCATTGCTGTTACAGTCGGACTGTCAATAGTTAAATATACATAAATATATATTTAATTTATGGACTGTCCCAGTTGTTTTATCTACATAAATTTTATTTTTTCCTGCGTTATAGGCTATCTGTAACAATTACGATATAACATTAAAAATTATCAATATAACTTGAAGCCCAAACATAAAACATAAAAGTAGCTTAACTTTAAGAAGGCGGAGGCCTTTAAATTTTTTTTTTAGACAGTGACTTGGGGCAAAATGGTATCGTTGCCCCCTTCATCTGAAGACGTTGGTCCCCTGCTTGTCGTGTCAAAACTGAATCAGTTTTCAGAATGATTTTCGTTCCAAATTATATCGATCATACTAATGTAAAGAAACAAGTTAAAGTGAAAGTTTTTACTATGTTGGATGCATAGGCGTATTTACGGCCTATGAAAATCCAGTTCCATTTTAAATGTATGGTTAAATCATTAAAAATAATTACTAAAAAGTAAAAAGAATGATTAAATAAAACAGAACTAAATAATAAATATTTTCACATAATATATTATTTATAAAATATATCTGTGACAAAAACTAATCAATAATATTTATTATCCAAAATCCAAAAGTATTATTATCTGTGTAGTTGTATGTTATATTACAGACCTTTTATTTTATTTTTTTTAAGAAAATTAGTATATTATTTACTAGCTATAGGTACTATAGTAGCTAAAATTACTAAACATGTACGTTCTCGAGGTATTGTATTTTGTATAAGTTACTCTTTGTTTTCGTATCCTAAATGAAAATTTCAATTTTCCTAATGAAAAATTTTACTGGCCATACCTGCAAAAAAATTTTAGACACGCCTATGGTTGGATGTATGAAAGACTGGAACAAAAAATATCGTAAACGTATTCAGTTTACACATTTATTAAGTTTTTAAGTAATTCATAGAATATTGAAAATTCGTTTCTTGAGCAGAAAATATTTCTATAATAAAAAAATAATTCAAACAAAAAACCAATCAATTCAATACCAGATGGTGAAAAAATAGCTTATTCTTTAATTAATTTAACTTTCCGTTGAGTTCCACAACGAGCGTTTCAAAATGTAGCGGTAATGATAGTACGGCTGCCGAACGTTTGTGTACAAACCGTGAAGTTGGTATACAAATAGAGTGATATCCACGATAACCTCAAAATACGAAACGCAATCTCTGTTTACTTTTTTTTCACTTGTCGATAACTGTTTGTTCACATATTCCGAACATTCGTGTCCTTTAAACTTGTAAGTATTTTCGAATTTAATCCAAATTTATCTTTTCAATCCTATTAGAAACGTATATTGTGTGGTTTAATAATGACTCGTATTTCGATGTATAATTATGTTAGTTATATTGTATTACATTTTTTTTAACTTGTGCAAAATTGAAAGTGTTCCATTTGACATCGCTATTAAAAATTTTTATATAATAAAATATTTTATATTTTAGAAGTACAATGTCGATCAAGCCAAAGTATCGTCCTACCATCATAAAAAAACGCACCAAGAAGTTTATCAGACATCAAAGTGATCGTTATGACAAACTCAAAGTAAGTTTACTGTAATGTCTTATTATTAAATGTCAATTAAATTAATATATTATATTATGTGTTTATAGCCCAACTGGCGTAAACCCAAGGGTATTGACAACAGAGTACGAAGAAGATTCAAGGGACAATATTTGATGCCTAATGTTGGATATGGTAGCGACAAGAGGACCAGACACATGTTGCCTTCCAAGTTCCGTAAAGTCCTTGTGCACAATGTTAGAGAGTAAGTACAAATACTTGATCTAAATTTATACAAATTCTTTTATTTTTGTCGACTTCCAGGAATTGGAAATGTTGATGATGCAAAACAGGAAATACTGTGGAGAAATCGCTCATGGTGTCTCATCTAAAAATCGTAAAACCATTGTTTCTAGAGCACAAGAGTTATCCATCAGGTTGACCAATGGAAATGCACGCATTCGTACTCAAGAGGGTTAAGTTTTGTAATAATTATTATTGATAAAATAAAAATAAAAATTAAAAATCAATTATATTTTTATTTATTTTACAATATACAACCGGATTTAATTAACAAAAATAAGTTTATATTATTTAAGGTAACAAATTTTCAATAAACGCCATAGTGTTTGTAAAAATATATTTACAATTAGTAAAATAATACTATTTGGTTACAAAATATTAAAAATATTAATGACTTTGAAGAGAATCCTGGCACATTTTTGATGTCATTTCCATTAATGGTTCCAATTCTTTATTGATGACTAGTTCAAACTCCGTTATAAAATAATAGAAATGCTTATAACAAGTATTCACATGTGGCTCCTGAAAATATAATATATTAAGTTTTTTATACTTAAAAATTAATATGGATTACACAAACAATAAATAATCCAACTACATGTAGAAGTTAATTATTTTCTAAAAAAAAAAAAGATTACAAATTAATTTTGTTTCTCCGACATGACAATTAAAATGTTATTAGTTTGGACTTATTCGAAAAGTTAATCATAACAAAAAAAATTATTTTCCCATAAATCAGATTAACCATAACTTAAATACAATATTCAATTATATATGTTATGGTTTAAAAATATTATGTTGTTATTACTGAATTTAAAGTACTCTGATACTAATTTTTAAATTTTGGAGCAAATCAAGAATTGTAGAATTCGTTTTACAATAATTTGTTTTATCTAATTATTTACATTTAATATTTTCTGTGTAATCTATTATTTTTATACTATTTTTACTAATAATTAGATAAAATTAACTTATTTCTAATATGAATATAAATTTAATAAAATAAAAATTAGAACTTATTATGAAGCCCAATATAATGGAGTACTTGAATTAAATGAAATTACAGTGTTTTCTTGAATAAACTTTATTTTAATTAAGTTTTTTTTTAAACATAATTTTTATTATTTTTTAGTGAATTTATGAAGAACCAACACTTAGAAATTTAAAATATTAATAATAAAAATCATGTAGTTAAAGTCAGATAGCATACAAATTATCTAAAAAGTAAATTGTGAATATTTGACAATGACAACAGGCTAGTTCCTAGTATTAGTATTATCGGACAAATTAATATGTTAATTTGTTGTATAGAAACATTTTTAGTTTACGGGGAACCCTAAAATTTAGCATTTTTTTGAAGTACTTCCAAAACTATCAAATTTCAATAGACTGTAACTTTCGAACTAATCGTCTACGCCAATTTTCGTTAGCACCATTGTTTTCAACATTAAAAAATACATAAGTTGACCTAAAATAAATACAAAATTTTGGGTGCCCCGTAATGTAGAAATATACCGAAGTATATTATAATAATTATTAGCATACTGTTAAAGAGCAAAAATGATAAATATTTGAAAACTATATACTCACTGCGCCAATAGATATAATTCGATCAAAATGATGTATATAAACATGTACAAATACTCTAAATAATCGAGTTAGTATTTTTTTGCAAAGTGGCATAAATGTTTTTGGAAATGGTACATCTATTAATATAATATGAAAATTAGTATATTTAATTACAATTAAAATTTAAAAAATAAATACCAGTTGACACAGGAAATAAATTTTCATTATTTATTTGAGCTTCAATCCAATCCATTAGAAGTGAAATATATTGAGGTGCAGGTAACTGTGTAGGTTTTTTGTACTTTTCTTTATCAGCCCATAAATATTCAAACTTAGGGCCACCACTCATTGTCGGACAAGATGTATCAGTACAGTAGTCGCAAACTGTACCATAAATCAAATTAATACGATTGAAAAAATCAACCACTGAAAATCAAAATCAAATTATGCAGATTTATTAGATTGATTACTAAGAAATAAAATTATAATTTTTAATTTCAAATACATACTAAAAATACTAATCAGTAAGTAGTATATATTAATCTATTTAATATAAACATAATCTATAAATTTCTTTATATTAATTACAGATAATATTAGTTAGTTAAATAATCTATTTTATAAATTTCTGGAATATTTTTGAATGTTTGGTATGATTTATAAAAAATGTAAACAAAACTTAACTCTGAATCTGAATATTTATAATTAATTATTAGTGTAATTACACTTGCTGAAAAATATCTTGAAAATAAATTTAAATTTTGTCATCTTTAAATTATTTGACATGCAAAGCACTATATCTGAATTACAATAGACAATATTTGGCATAAGTTTTACTCATACAGTAGATAAAAGCAATGTGGTTTAATTAAATCCATACAAGAATTTATGTTTACATTTTAATGAAAGTTATATAAACATTCAGATTTTTGGTTTTAGATAATATATCTAAATCTATCTATACATAGTTGTTAAGTTAAAATTCTTTAAAAATGTATAAGAAATATTCAAAAAGAATATGGATTGTTAAAATAATAATACCATGAACAGCAATCCAATCGTATAAGTCTTCACCAGGCGGCAATTGCACAGCACTTCTTAAATTAATACCGGAGTTCAATGAAGCTTGTGCATGTTTGTACAGTGAGTAGCGAAGAGTACCTGGCGAAAACTTTTTCTTTGGTCTAAATGTCTATGAATGTTTTAAAAAAATTGTTTACACAATAAACAATATTGTAACATGTAAATCATTGTCTTTAGGGCACTTACTTTTCCTTTTTGAAAAAAATCAATAAAACCACCAAATGACATATTGAATGATTAAGAATTTAACGTTCGGACAAATTAAAACTAGAATTGTATAATTACTATTTATTACTAATAATACCAAAAAAAATAACTAAAATTAAAATTTTGAGTTATTATCATCTATCCATTTCAATTTCCTATTCTACATCTACATTGTTATTATTATAAGATAACGTTATCGCTTCTAATTCTATGATAACGAATAATTTCTGACCAATATTTATAACACTATTATCTATAAGAATCGTTTTTAATTTTGGTGCATTCCTTATAGTAAACTACTCATAGTTTATTTAAACTGTTAATTGTTTTTTAAAATATTTTTTAACTCTTGAGATTATTACATGTTGAATTTAATTTATATTTTAATTATGCGAGTTGACTGTTTACTATTAGTTTTTGACATTTTTTGTTAGAAATTGTTACTCAATAATAAAAAATAAGTAACTAATAAAAATGTCAAATTTACGAAAACTTGATAAAGATCGTCTAACGGCCTTTTTGGAACACTTGAATAAAAAAATAAAAAAACCAGACAAGACATTAGAAAAATGTTTAGTAAGTTCTTATTTAAAAAAAATTATTTAAGGCTTATTAATTAATTAAAACATAACATTTTTTTTTAGAAGACTCATTTTATATTTTTTAATTGGTATTATTGTGTTTCTAGTCTATTTTGAAAACATTAATGTACACATCTTCAAATTATAAATACGACACCACATTGAATACACAATCCAATTTACAGAAAATTATTCAGTCAATAAATTTTGATGTTATCCAATCTGATCATATGATCAATATGAAACATATACTTCACCAAGGAGCTGATCTTGACGTATATGTGAACTACATAAAATCCATTTTAAATAGAAGAGATAATACATTAAATCTAATCTTATTAGATGTCTGGGACCAACTGAATTCAAATGTATTAAAATTGCCTGTATTCATTCATGAAAAATGTATTAAAGATTATCCTTTGATTTTTGAAAAAACTATTTTATCTGCAATATCACAGTGGCAAATTGATGAACTCTCTGAAATATGTATTAAATCACCACTGGTGTTCCAAATGTGCTCTAGCATATTTAATGAACTGCTTATCAAATTGAACTTTACAAATAATTTTTTTAAGTTTATAACGAATTTTGTAAATAGCGTTTGCTCTCAATGTGAAAATAACAATATTGATGTCATTGATCTCTATCCTATTAAATGTAGGAATATATTAATTCTAAGAGCTATTAAAAATAAAAATTCTACTATAGTGACAAAAAAATATTTAAATAAAGAATTCAAGCAGTTTATTTTAAGTCATCCTAAAGAATCTATGTGTCTATTAATTCATTTCCCAGATTTATATGAATCAATTTAATTAATTTACTATTTTTTTAATAATTTAATTATCTTTTAAATTTAAGCTACAATAATAAACTATGTATATTAAAATTTGGAAATATAAATTTTTATTGCTGTTTCTGTCTGTTTTGTTTAATATTTGCATTAAATGTACATATATCACGGGCATGTGCCAAAATTAAAATGTATTTTATGTATCTTAAATTAATGACAATGCAATAACACTAAAAATAATATATTCAAGTTATAAATGTCTTGTCTTTATTTAGATCAAATGTAAAGTTATAACTTTTGAAAAATTGTGTTTTTTTTCAAATTTAAGATTTTAGATTTTATTACAGACTATATGATAATTTATATTATTATAATTCATGTAGTATTTTACTATTATATAAAATTTATGAATATTATAAACTGGAAATAAGTTTAAAAAATTAATTGAAATTTAAGAGGAAATAAAAAAAACTAATTAAATTGAAGAAAATGTTATCGTAGACTAAGACAATCATTCATGTTACAATAGTAGTGATCTGTTGATATATAATAGCCTAGGAAGGTTAAAAACTTAAAAAAATTATGTACAAAAAGTATCAAATTAATGAAACTTTTGAAAATAATAGGTATATCTATTTTTCTTCAATAATTATTAATATATAATTTATATAAAAATAAAATACATATATTTAAAATGAAAAAAACAATAAGACCTGTAACACTTTTGTAGTTAAAAATATTTTAAATATTTTTTATTTTCAAGATACAAAAAGAGTCGAATATCATAACAATATAACAATTATATTCAGTTATTAATTAACATAACAGTAATTTTATTGTGAAAAAATCACAAAAAGTAAGTAATGAAAATATAAAAAAACTTTACATTTAGAGAAAAAATAAAAAAATTAAATTTTATATAAAGAAGGTGAAAGTAAAATCTGTAGTAGAAAAATAGAAGAATCTTAAAATTTAAGGTATCAAAGAAGAATATAAACCTGTGAAGGGAGAAAAAACCAAAAAAAGACAAATCATTAGGTAATAATTTATTCAGTAAAACACTAATATTAATATAAAAAATATAGAAAAAAAATAAAAGGGGAAACATAAGTAAAAGAAGAAGTATCTTGTATGAAAAAGAAAAAAAACCCTGTGAAAGGAGAAAAAAACCAAGAACATAACATATTATTGAAAAATAATTTTATTTTATTAATATAATTGAAAAAATATAAATAATACAAAAAAAAAAAAAAAATGTTTTCATCACAAAAAAAATAAAAGAGGAAAAAAAACTTTTGAAAGGAAAAAACCAAAATATTGATAAATTAAACTCAATAGTTGAAAATAAGTATTGCAATACACTAAAAAGCATAAGAAAAATAAACGAAAGGACTAAAATGCTCGGGAAAAAAAAGTAATTTATACAAAAATTATTTTAAAAAAAAAATTATAAAATTTAGTAAACACTACCGAATATTGGATTTACCCGACCAGATCTCGATGATGGAAATATGCAACTGCGTTCCAGCTGAATGGTCACACGACCAACACCGGAAAGGGGTCGATCATCGTGCCAAAAGCGCGGACACCGAGAAGTGGAGCTTGTCAACAGCCGGTAGTCGCTGGAACTGCCAAGTGGCTGATTTCACCTCGGCGTCGGGGTACGGGTCCTTGCGTGACACTCAGTGGTTTTGACAGTTTCAACGTAGACTGATCGAAGGATGCCGTCGACAAGGTATTGGGGAAGTTATACGTGGACATGGTTTCCACCGTAGTTCTTTCGGCTGTTACGAATGTGTCTTCCACAGGCTCAATCGGGTAGTCATCATCGGTTTTACTACAAGTCATAGTGTCCTGCGTGGTCTCCAATCGTTGTTTTGCTAGTTCGACATGCCGAGGTGGCGTAAGGTTGTCTCTCCCAATACTCGTTTCCACGGTCTCCGGTGGTCCATCCGTCTGCACGCCGATTTCCGCGTAAGTTATTTTCCTCGGCGGCACCGCGATTCACGTGAAGCCATCCATCCGACCGAAGCTCCGACGCTCCGTCAGGGAACACGTATGGCCGGCTTCGGTTTCCTGATGGCGACGGATGCGATGACCATATTTACCGAGTCGGCCGCACGATCGACCCCGGCAGTGGACCCGCCCGCCTCCGCACAATGCCGTGGACTTCTGTGCGGCCAAGGTCTCTGGATGTACCCGCGATCCCGGCACGAGTAGTGCGGTGTTTTCCTACATAATGGTAATGCCATGTTGAAGAAATAGTTCGATTGGCTGAAGTTGAAAATGTAATAATATAAAAAAAAAAAAACAACGATGATTATTGTAAAAAAATGTAAATGTTTAGAAAAGTATTTTTTCGAAATGATTCGAGTGCATGAGATGTGTGTCGTTTGAGGTGCTACTATATATAGTTTGCGGTTTTTGGTTGTCAATCGGCCACATTTCAAAGTGGTAACAGGGCGTTTTTACCTAAGAGCTTCGATGACTTTCTACTATCTGAAAACGAATTTAATTACAAATTCGATCTTTTTTACTGACCAGTACATATTTTTAATGTAAAAACCATGTAGGACGACCGCATTTTCAATATCTTTCGGGACGATTGTTAGGGACTTTCAACGAGTTTCTGCGATAAATTCGCTCTGTTGACACCTAGTAGGGGAGACTTAGGTAACTTTAAACATTTTTAAATAGCTCAAGTTAAAAGATAGAAGTTAATAATTTTCACCATATCTGCTAAGATATTTATTGATTATATAGAAAAATTAATTAATCTTAATTTTCGTTATTTATAACTTTTTTTTTTTAAGTTTCTTTTTTAAATTCGCCATCTTATCCGGAAGATGGGGTAAGTTGACATTATGTTTCATTATTTTATATAGTGCCCATAAATGCTGAACTAAAAGTTTTAATAATGTTTACTTATCAACTTCTTAAAATGAGTAAATATTTTGCTAAATAAATACAAATTGCCCTATTCAATATAAATAAAACTATGAAATAATAATCATTAAATAGCTTAATGAAAAAAAAGTATAATTTGACCATTCAAAATGAAATCTTAAATACTTTTTTAGATATAACAATTTTCACTTACTTATACAATAACAAATTAAATATCTATATTGATATATATATAGTGGCGTAGATACAATTTTTTTCTGCGAGGGGGGGGGGGGGGGTGTTTAAGAGTAAATTTTTAAGTGTTCTTAGTATATCATAAAACGAAGTCATATATAATAGTATGACATTTAAAATAAAATTATTATTATGTCCCGTATTTAATGAAATTTATTTTGTTACTGCATACTATATAGCTAATCATAGTAAAATCAAAATATTTTCTATAATATGTAAATATTAATAAATAAAAATCAAATATCATTAAAAAAAAATCTGTGGAGGGGTGAAAACCCCTTACACCATCCCCGTAACTACGTCACTGTATATATATATATATATATATATAAATAAAATCATAGTAGTTCGAGTTTTAATATTTTTCTTTTTATAATTTCTTAACATAGTAAAGTTAAAAAATATGTAAATAAGTAAATATAATATTTCTCTTAGTGTACAAAATTAAAATTGGTCACTATTTATTCTTTGAAAATCCTCACATAATGGAAAATTCAATAAATTTAGTATATGTACATTATGGTTATCTTCGGGTAAATTTACGTCGTCAATTTACCTCAGCTATCTTACCCAGAAAAATAATATTTGACATTAACAAACTTTCAAAATACTAAATTACGGTAGCTTAATAAACTTTACATAAAAATAATTTAAGGAAAATAAACTACTTAACAAAGAAAACAGAAAAAAATATTTTTACTTACCAAGATTCAATAGTCCTTAAGACAACGTGAAAAAAACATAATGATGGTTTTACATAACCGATAACAGAAAATCTTGATTTTCTCATAGGAACCACAAACAAGAAATATTAGATGTTGGAAGAACTGTTTAGTATCTTGTGGAACAATAAGAATTCTTGATTAAAGTCGTAATGAGTTATTAACATTTCGTCAACTTATCCAGGTCTCCCCTACATACCACAAAATCGAATTTTTGTTTTCACTGAAATTTAAAAAATAACAACTTTAGAGATTAGAATACATTTTCATTAAATGCCTATATCACTATCCGCCATAGTTTATGTAATTTTCTAAAGATTTCCACTTGTTTGAGATATTTGTAGTTATTTAATTATTTCAAGTTTTATAATAATTTTTTTCGTAAAATGTCGATAAAATTATTTTGGTTTAAGAAAGTCTTTTGTAACGAAAAAAATAAAAATAAAATGTTTATCGAAAAGCCGTAAAAAAGCTTCATATATATTAGAAAATGAAATGTAGAATTAATACAAGATATAATTACAATTTTACGATGTTAAAAGTAGTTATTTATTTGTTATTTATAAATATTGATAGAAGTGACTCGAAAAATTTACTAAGAACTTACATTAGCGTTTTATCTCTACTTTATAATCGTAATATTTCAATGACATTTTTCCTGTTTATAGGCACTTAAAAATGTCGATTGAAATGTTATCCTAACTCAGAAAATTGATTCTTCTACTTTATCATTTATTTCACATGCACACAATCTATACAAATTAAAACACAATAAACATCTAAGATAATAGGTAGGCCTGTATTTAGGGCGAAGTACGGGTAGACACATGCCCGGGGGCGTCAAGTCTCAGAGGCAGCAAAATATTTTAGTATACCATTTAATTAATTATGAAATCCTTTTTTTTTTATATATATATACTATTATGGTAGCACCGGCCGATAAACTGTTTATTGCAACTTGTATTATTACATGTCAGTTCTGTATTAGCTAAGTGCCACCATCAAATTGCCATCCTTGGCCCTACATCTTCATGCCCGATTAGATGTTGAAAGTCACCCTATGACTTCCAAAGGGGAAGGATGTTCAAGAGTTACAAATATTTCAAATTTTTGGGCTCTATACATTTTTTCAGTGAGCCTCGTAACACATCACGGCGCCCTTTTTCCTCTGCCACTGGTGCTCTTGCAAACTGGTTAGACCAGGCACGAAGTGGCACCCAGCTGTCTGTGGTCGTCCTGGCTTGGTTTTCCGGTGCCGGCGGTGATACGCGTCTTTTTTTTGTTGATGACCGTGACTACGTGATCCTGTGATCAGCCTTTGTTGTTTTCGTTCGAAGTGCTCGTCTTGTACTCTGGCGCCCGTTATTGTATAAAGCCGGGTCTACCCTGGGTTTAGCATTGTCAGTCTACCGTTTAAATTGTAGTTCGATTGAAGATAAATTCTTTTCAATACGTTGGCTGTTCTCCACTTCGCCAGTCGTACTAGTCGGCAGTGGTGGCGTGAAGTTACCCCTTACACTTTACTTTTCACATACCTATTTTAAATGTGGGTTTAACCCTTCGGAATGTGCATTAATATACGGTAAATTACAGTAATCCAAAAAAAATAAAAAAATAATTTTTGCTACCTGCGTATAAATTATGTCTTGAGTTGCTTTATGTTTGGATAATCTCTGTACCACCAATTCATAAAAGTACGTACATTTTTTGTAATTTATATTTAATTATAAATTCATTTAATTCTGCAATTTGGTGTATTTTGCTTAGTAAAAATAAATTTAGAAAATAATAATTCTTATTTAAAACACTCAAGCTTTTAACTAACCAGTAAAACATTTACATTTTATAATTTTTTTTAAATTTTAATATAGTAATTCTAAAATTTTTTATTTTATTTTGGTCATTTTGACCATGCACACTGAAACATTTTACACCTTCAGACAACCTTTAATCTTCAGACAGGTACCAGAAAATATATTATAAGTAAGTACTTGGTTATTTTTTACTAATAACATTTTGTAAGTAAATTTAAGTTAATATACAACGTAATTGTATCCAATATTATTGAATACTGTTCATAACAATCTAATTGATGTTACTACTTACACAGTACAATCCATTGATTTTATATTTAAATAATTTCTGTATAATGTAAGGTAGAATAGGCAGGGCCATCTCGAAGGGGGATCTTGGGGGAGTGTCTCCCCCCCCAACGAAAACATCAGTCGGCAGTCGGACTTGTTTCATTATAGCCTAGAAGGACCTAATTTTACTTACGGAAAACAAATATTATATATTTCGTATTACAGTGTATACACGAATAATATGTATATAACTACTTATTATACAATATAAAATATTATTACATATATATAATTAAACTGTCAATTTTAAGATCGTGCAACACTGACACATATACAGAGTGTTGCACGATAAATGTATCAAACTTCAAGAGGTACTTATACACCTCAGATGCAACAAAAAAGTCCTTATGACCATTATCGAGTTCTCAATAATAAGGGAGATTTTTCGATTTTTGTGTTTTTTGATTGAACGCAAGTTTCATTCATAATAATGTTCATATCTGCTGAACCGTTAGTTCTAAAATAAATTTGAATACACCACTGAAAAGCTCATAAGACTAGGATTAAGAAAACATACACTTCAAGGTTCCCACCTAATTTTTTGGGTTAAAGAAATAATACAAATCTTTCAAAACTTCAAATTTTCAACATTTTAATACATTTCAATGTTATTTAATAACAATTAATTTCTAAGACAGGAAGGTGCAAATTTCACAAAAACTTCAAAATGTTTTAAGCTTTAGTATGGTATACTCCATTTTTTTATTAAACTATTTGGAGGGCCGCTATTCCACCTTTTGTGTGGAAAAACGAAAACTAATTCTAATTGATAAATACAAAACCGTTAAAACTTGGTAAACTGATGTAAATTTTATTTCATGAGATTTAAAATTAGTTTGTACATATAAGTTTATTACAAAAGATGTTGAAAGTGTCCACCGTTTTGCCTTAAACAAGCACGTCCTCTCTTACATACTTTATTCCCAGTTACTCCTGCTGTCATTATCTTCCACATTTTTATAGCAGCTTGAAGAATTATCTGCCTTAGTTCTGCTTCAGATATATATATATATATATGTGTGTGTGTGTTAAAAAGTAAAAATACGACTACATATATTTAATTATACTACATACATTGAGTAAAAAAATTCTAGTCGGCATTTTTCATATTATTCACCCCCATTTTTGCATGAGGGTACCGCCTCGTAAAATAGCTATTCACGCCGCCACTGCTAGCTGGGTTCGGTGATTTTTTATTATTCATTGATATTATAACTATTATTATTATTACACCCACTTAAAAACTGCATAAACTTGACCCCTCCTCAATATTAATAGTAGGTACCTCTTCACACCCTTACATACTCCATGCTCTCAACAACCATCCATACATGCAGCATTCATCCACGAAGTTCCATAAAACTATGATAGCACTCCATCACGCCTACCTATTACCTCTTCCACGTCCAATAATACTATTTATGAACATATTCATTACTTAAAAAACATATTATATAATTGATTTTATAATTTAAAATTGATACAAAAATTTGGATAATTGATTATTTAAATGAAAATTGTTTGGTATCACATAATTAAATACAGAATGATCATTTTATTATTACATAAATATATAGTTACAGACGTTACAGTTCTAAAAGCCTATGTTCAATGCAATGAAAAATTATTTCGTAAAGACGTTTTTGGAATTTGTATAGGTACTTATGTTAAACTCTCCAATATGTGTAAATTAATTTTGCTATCTCAATCCAGTTTAACCTAAGATAAGTGGTTATCGCTGATATTGCTATATGTATAAATGTACTTTGTTTAATATATCTGTTAGTTGTAAACATTTAATTTAAGGCTGTAGTTACACTAGAGTAATATTAGATATAATAGTACTCAGCGATTCATAATATATCAATACCCAATATTTATTTATATAGATCTGTTATAAATACAATTTTCAATCTCTAAAAAATAAATCGTAAATTAGGTGGAAATTAAAGAATACTACAATGTTTGTTTAAATAAAATATATGAAATATAAATTACAACTAATTTGTAACCCATGGGCGTTTTTCTTAACTGCAAAAAAATGTCGTTAGATAATTATTACACAGAGTATAACAATACCTCTAATTAAAAATTCCGAATAGCCCTGCACAATTACTCCAACTTGAGATTTAAACTGGTAAAATTTTATTATAAAATTATGTTGACGAATTAAGAACTAAATGTAGCAATTCTTACTTTTTCATTACACGACTGTAGTGTATCCTTAACCTAAACCAGTTTTTTAATATTATTTAATGTTCATGCTTCATAATTTTTAGTAATAGTACATTGAATATTACGTTAATATTGTGCTTGCTACTTACATTATTTTCTTTTATTAGATAACTAAACAATTATGGAGTTGGAAAAATTAATACTAGGAATTGATATTGGAACGAGTTCGGTAAAAATTTCAATGTTGGACATTCACACTTTAAAATCCGTTTTTGCGAAATCTTTTCCGACCAAAGCAAATATAACCCCTAGTCATCAAAAAGGCGATGAGCAAGATGTTATCAAAATTTTTAGAACATTACAAAAATGCTTAAAAACAGCAGGCAATTTGATGAAAAAGGTACATCTTAGTGTACAATAATTGAAAACTAACAAGAAATAATATTTAAATTAATTCTTTATGTACATTGTAAACCAAAATTGAAACATTAAAAATATCAAGTTCAAGGGTCAAGTAAAAAACTTTATTTTAACAATATATAATTATTGAGGTGGATATTTTATTAAATGTAAACCTTACAAATTGATATTTAAATATATAAAGTAACTTTTAATTCTAATTCGAATAAAACATTGAAATTAATTAATATTAGTTTTGGTTAATATATATTCTTAATTCATTATAGGTACCTATTTCATAAATTCTTTATAATTGTGGTTTAAAAATTATAATTCTTACAAACACGTATCTGAATAGTAAAGTAGAAATTAACCAGGAATATATATTTATTTGCTTAAAAAGGTAAAAGCAATTGGAGTTTGTGGACAAATGCATGGAATAGTTTTCTGGAATAAACAATTTATCCAGCAATTTTGGGACAATGGATTTGAATTTGAAGATCAAGAATTTGTTTCTAATTTATATACATGGCAAGATAAACGTACAGACTTAACATTTTTGGACAAGTTGCCAAAACCTAATTCACACTTAAAGACATATTCGGGTTATGGATGTATTACTGCTCTATGGTTAAAAGAAAATCAGTGAGCAATAATACAATTTACATAGACTAATTTTTTTTATTTTAATAGATTAAACATTCATTAATTTCAGACCAGATATATTGAATAAATATCAATACTGTGGTACAATTCAAGATTTAACAGTGTCACTGCTATGTAATCAACAAAAACCAATCATGTCTACCCACAATGCTGCTAGTTGGGGATACTTTGATTTAATAAACTGTTCATGGAATGTAAATATTCTACGTAAGATAAATTTTCCATTAGATTTGTTACCATCAGTTGTACAACCTGGATCAAATTTTGGAACATTATACGATACAATTTATGATCTACCCAAAGGCACAGTGATTGGTAAACTTTAAAATAAATACATAAGCAATATTATAGTTCACATAATTTAATTTACCAAATAGGTGTTGCTCTGGGTGATTTACAATGTTCAGTTATAGCTACATTAACAGCAAAGACTGATGCCATTATTAATATTTCTACTTCTGCTCAAATGGCTTTTGTTGCCACAAATATGAAGCAACAGCATGGTAAATTATATTAAGATTGTTAATAAAATTCTAACAAATCATGAAACAACTTATTATTACTTATATATTGTTAGATTAGATGGAGTTGAATATTTTCCATATTTTGAAAATGATTATTTGGCAGTTGCAGCTTCATTAAATGGAGGAAATGTTTTAAATGTTTTTGTTAAATCTGTATTAAATTGGGTATCTGTTCTAGGATTAAATATAACTGAAGGTAAATTACAGTCAACAAATATTTAACATAATTTAAATATATAATTGAATTTTAGATGAACTGTGGAATCGACTGTATAATCTTCCACCAGAAAACCATTTGATACCACTGATTGTGAACCCTTTAATGTATGGTGAAAGACACAATCCAAAAACATATGGATCGATAATTAATGTTACAAATGATAATTTCACATTGACAGAGTTATTTTCAGGATTTTCTAAAGGGCTTGTAAACAATTTAATCAAGTAATAATATGATAAATTATATCAAAATAAAAAATGTAATAATCATTTTTATTTTAGCATGATGCCAAGAGAACTACTATTGAGTTCTGGAATTCAAAGAATCATAGGATCAGGAACAGTCATCACTAAAAATCAAATTATAAGAGAAGAAATAGAAAATAGTTTTAAACTTCCGTTACATATAAGTAATCCAGAAGAATCTGCTATTGGTGCTGCATTAACAATGCTTAAAAATAATCCTTCTTTATTTAATTCATAAATGAGTAGTTATAAAAATTGATGTTGATTTTAAGACAAGTTGTATATTGCCAATTAGAATTAAAAATATTTACAGGAATATAGTTTTTATAGAATATTTAAATTAATTTTTAATATCATTTTATATTAAAAAGTTTGACGGATAATTGTTATTTCACATATTTATTAGAATCATACTTGATCCACATCTAAGATTCAAACATAAAATATTTAATAACTGGTATAATACAATACAATAATATCTGACTTCATATTTTACATCTAAATAATCAGTTCACACGAAATTAATAGGTATTTAATAAAATCCCTATCAAAACCATCAAATTAAAAAGTATACATACAAATATATATTTTGTATTAGGCTATTAAAAAAAGGTTTTTTTCATATACTCTCCAACGGTTTTCATTATTCTCAAAGTATATGACAAACGAAAATTGAGTTAGTTAATAATATAATTTGAAACTTTATTTTATGTCTTGACACTACATTTTTTTTAAAAATCCAAAATACAGACTCAAAAGATGCTTGTATTGAAACTTATTTTTATTTTATTTTATTAAATTTGTTTTATGTTGTTGCTCCTTATACTTCTCTATATTTTGTATACTAAAATTAATTTAATCATGTACCTATTATCTCTGTACTCTATTCTCATTTGATGTTTATAAAAAAATAAAACACCAAAAACACCTAAATTATCAATTTACTACAATTATATATATTTTTTGTTTTATTAACAATAAAATTGTATATTGTAGAATCATATCCAATGAAAAGAAACGAATAAGAATATTATCGGTTTCAACGGTTGTAGTTTTTTATATATTTCTATTTTTTTTTTTTTTTTAAAAACATATTAAATAATAATTAACTTTATTATTCTATTACATATTCGTATAAAATCAATGTTTCTTATAAAAATAATTATTGACATTAATAACAATATTTTTAATATCCCAGTTGTTGAATACAAAATAAGTCAAAATATATATATATATATTAAACATAATATAAATCATTACTTACAAATTTCTTTCATATATATGTAATTATAACCTCATAAATTTCATTCTGAAACATAAAAATGTATAATTATTAGTAATTGTTGAACATCAAAAAATGAATAAAAACAAATATCTAAAATTATTTTTAAAAATATAAATTATTATAATATTTTACCTTAAGAATTGCTATTCAGATGCATTAATTGTTCTTGCAATACAAATGACATTGTACATGGTGTCAATGTGCTATTCTTTAACATATCTTCACGGGTCTTTCCCTTTATTTTAGGAGTTTTCAAAAAACTACAATCTTGATTTAAATTGTTTAAAAATCCAAAACCTCCAGTCATCCTTGAATATTTTTTTTCTTTTACTGTTTCTACTGTAATTTCTGATAACTGTGATTGAGGACTACAATCTTTTCCGTCTTGAATTTTTTTTAACAATTTATTATAGTTATCAGTTACTTTATTTTCCATAATGTTAAAATTTTTTTCAATTTCTAGTTCAATTTCTTTGAAGCGGATCTTAATTAAATCACAACATTTTAATTTAGATTGTCGAATCTCTTCGATTTCACTTTTTTTAAGTTCCTCTAAATCTTCAACTAATAAGGGTATATCTGATATCTTTTGAAGTTCTTCTACATTTTCAACTAATAAAGGTACATCTGATGTTTGGGTATGGAAATCAAATTTATTTGATGTATCTTGTTTCGGGGTAATACTTAAATCCATCAAATGTGGAGTTTTTGATTCATTTAAATTATTTTCATTGACCAAAGGCAAATTTGTTTCAGGAGTTTTTACACTAAATATATCAGCATGATTTTGAATTGATTCTAGATGACGATTTAATAAATACTTGGAGGCTGATGACAATGCATTGTCAAATTGCATTTTTTGATATTTAGTACAAGGTGAATCAATTAGTGTACTATAGAGTTCTTTAGATTGAAGTACAGGTTCACTTGGTTTACAATGATTTTTTACCAAGGATGATTCAAGAAAACCAATTTTACTAGATGTTTCCAAAGGAATTTTATGTTTATTTAACACATCATTATATGAACATCTTGGTAATTCATACTTGCTGTCTTCATATAGCTTTTCATGACTTTTAGATTTTGAAGACAAAATTTGAAAATTGTTAATCTAAAAAAATATTGATTTTATTGATTAAAATAATTTTTAACGTTTATGTTTTAAAAATACCTCATGTAATGGTTTTAATGTTCGCCTCATGATAAATGAAGAATCATCATTAAACAATGATTTTTTTGGTCCAGCTAACATTTTTTCTTCTAAAAATGTAATAAATAAAATTATTTATTAATTAAATAATGTTTTCATTATCTTTATTTTTAGCACAAACAGTTTGTATATATTTTGGTAAACATATTAGTATTATAAGTCATCCAATACATTCAATTATAGAGGTTGTATAAAGAAATATGTGCATGAATAGAAATAGGTTATAAAAATAGTAAATTATTAGTAATTGAAATTAAAAAAAAAAAGTATTTCCTAAGCATCAGTAATTTAGTTTTGAGAAATATGAAAAAAATATTTTAATTTTTTTTTGAGAATCTATTAGAATAATATTTAACAATTTAAATAACATTATTTTCTACTCTTCAGTTATCAAACACAATACTTAATTCATTTATTTGAATATTCAACAGGTATAAGCCCTTTAACAGAACAAGAGTATATTTAAAAAAAAAAAATGTACAGACATAAAGTAATGAGTAATTAGTATAATAAAATATCTATGAGTAATGAACAATGAAATAAAATAATAATAATACAAATGCTTTTAAGATAACACAAACAACAAAAGACAATATAACAATATAGTAAATATAGAGAACTATATAGATTATATAATATATCATAAAATATTAGAATACATATAGAGAAATTATTTATAATACACCTTATAAATTATAAACAATTAACTAATATTATAATGAAAAATGTTTTACAATTAATGACTTACCATTGTCGAATTCGGGAGTACCAAGTTTAACTAGCTTTTGTACAACACTACGACGGCCAACACGTCTTTCTTTATTCATTTTTAAAATTAATAATTATTATATACAAACGCCTAATTCAAAAAATAAAATAATCTTTACAGAGTATATTATGAAAAAAAGTTTACATTGAATGAGTATCAATACTATAATGTAAAATTGGTTCAGTAAATTTCCGTTAAAACGATACTTCCATAAAATAAGGACTAGATATTGATATTGTGGTATAAATTTAAGCGGTTTGAAAAAATAACTGATGTTTAGAATTCATATCAATCAGTGATGCGATTTGAAGGAATTTGTTCAAATGGTATATCATGGAATAAACAGCATCAGTCATAAATGATAAACTTACCGCGGTGAAATAAATTTAAAATTATTTCTATAACAAGTTAAGCACTTGTACATAGACGCAATTAGGGGGGGGGGTTGTGAACAAATTATTATTATGACCTAATTTTTTTCTTTTTCTTTTAAATTAAAAAAAAACATTTAAAAATGTTTTCGTTATTTAATTAAAAAAAAAAAAATCACATTGTATAGTTAACAATCAAGACGACAATGATTCTGGTCATTCAGAAACAACTATTTCAACTTCTGTTGAGTTTCTGAGAGGCAGTGATTGAAAAATATATGGATGGGGCCGAAGACCCCACCCACATTTTTTTACTCTAATTGCGCCTATGAACTGCTTATACCAGTGGTTCTTAATCATTTTTGGTTCAGCGCCCCTTTATCGTATTAACTAACTGCCGCCCCCCTCATGTGAAATCAAATTTTCTTCCTATATATATATTTATTTATTTATTCATCAGTATACTAAATTAAAGTAAAAACTCGTATTTTAAAAAAATAGTAATGGTTATATTTTACTCAAAACAATTTTACTTTACTACACAAAAAGATTTTACTTAACTATGAAAAAAAAAAATGATAATGTATAAAAATTATGCCCATCAATGACTGCCCTGAACCTAATGAGTAGCTGATAATGTGGCGATGTCTGATTCGATATTAGTCAAAGCTAAACGTAGATCACCTTTATTGTAAATGTCCAACCGATTTCTTTGTTTTGTCAAAAACTGAACAACGCTAAATCAGTGCATTTTATAAGGAATTTTCAATGGGCAATAAAAATTGTTTTTCTCAAAAAAGTCAATGTAATACTATAGTACGATTATAATACTATACGTTTGTTTCGCATTATTTCGCCATATCTTTCAAAATATTGTCGACAGAGTATAATTACTGGGCGACATTTGTGTCGCCTAGTTAACTAGTTAAAAAATGAAATGCACTGCGCTGAATCCTTTATCAACTAGATACGTTGACGGGAAAGAAAGAAGCAACAATTCTTATTGCTATGTTGTGGATAAGTGTCTTTAAGCTTGATCCAAACATGCTTGTCACCGACCTGCTTAAAAATAAGTTGTGCCTCACAGTCGCATTTAAGAGGGTCAAAGCCAGTGCGGTTTTAATATACAAAAACATGTCTTACAGGAAAAACTCTCACGTCCTATAGATGACGTCCAGATGAAATATTTAAATGAGCATTCCAGCAAATTATAAAAAAAAAAAAAAAAAATGAAAAATCTCAACTTGACAAGCTTCAAAAACTAAAAATATTGATGACTTAACTGTGGTAATATTATTATGTATTTTATATTTTTGTACAATAGTTGTATAATATACTATAAGTCATCCTATTTGTATAGTTCATTTTATTGCAGTTCCTACATTCTAAAAAAAAAAATATACATATAATTTTAAATTACTTAAACTATATTTTAGTAGTATAATTTCTTTAATTTCTTGTTACTATTCATAATGGACAAAAATCATTCATAATAATAGTATAAGGTGTAACCATAAAATGTTGTTATAATAAATTTATATTTTTTAATGCATTTAGGAACTACAATAATTAACTACAACTTTTGGTTATAATGGTTCATCCACCTCACAGAAAATGTCATTCATTCGTAATTAATACGGAAATTTACGATCAGAATTGTAAAAAAAATTGTGAAAGTTGACGAACTATAATAATAAATGCAAAACTTCCATTCATTTAAATTAGTGTTTGATCTCTATATTATATAAGGACTTATATATATTATAATTTATAACACATTCGCAATGCTGGGCAAGTTAACGGTTTTTTTAACTCATTAAGTTAATATAAAAAAAAGTAAGTTAAGTTAAATTAAAAGTTAACTAATGTATTTTTAATAACTTCGTTAAGTTAAAAATTAATGGATAAAAAAAATTAACTTAATTAAAAATGTAATTATTTTCGAATCTGTAACTAAAACCAATAAAATGAATGACAAATTTGGAATTTGTGTCAAGCTCATGTGGCCAACCATGTAGTAGGCTAAGCAGTATTTACTGAGGATTTAAGGTGGGCAGTTGACGATTTTTGAATCTGAATATTTAGAAATAATTTTTTCCCCATGAGTTATATTGATAATTTCAAGTAAATTATAAGTAATAACGTATTTCTCGGGATGTGTGGCGTGTGCGTATCTCTAGGTATAATGGGTTATGGTTTACAAGATAACTAATTAAATACACGAACGCGACGTCGCGACGACTTCATAATATGATTACTATTATAATATTATAATTACCTAAACGTGTATCAATTTATATGTTCAATGTCCTTTTACATTATATATTATGAAAATTATATATATATATGTATATATATAATTTTAATTGTATAAAATATACAAAATATATAGTAATACCATTGATTTTATAATATATATTATAAAATCAATGGTAATACCCAATATCATATAACTCGTATTCATAATGTGTATTGTGTATAGACGTATAGTACTAAATACTAAATAGTGAATAGTATATACTGTATGTATATTGTATAGACATCAACATTCAACTTCAATAAACACAAATTTATTACTATGCAAAAAAATTGTTATAGTTAGATACCTAGTTATTATTACATGCGGGTGGGTACCTATTACCTGGATACAGGCTATTCACCTAATATCTATCTATATACAAGGTTGGGCATAAAAACCTGACACATTTTAAGGACCCCTGGCGCCGTCCCACCGAGACGTGAGATATTCGTGGTTGCGAGAACGGATGGTAGACGGTTGAAGGTTTATTTTTTTAGTTGTTTGATGTTAACATAGAGAAGTGGTCGGCTCCGCAGCGTGCGTTCGTTAGCGAGCGATTTTTCATTACAAATTCTTACATTGCTGTTATTCGTGAATTTCGTAAGAAATATGAATTAAATCCTCGTGATCCGGTACCGTCGCGGAATACGGTAAAGCTATGGATTAAATACTTTCGGGAGACGGCCCGAACTGATAAAAAAAAACCATTCGGGCGTCCGGTCACGATGTGGACACCAGAAAACGTTAATCGAGTTAAGAGTGCTTTATAGACAAGTCTTCGACGTTCGGCCGTAAAACATTCTCAAGCATTGAAAATTTCTCGTAAAATTTATAATATCGTGGTTAATCCAATTTTGGGCAAATTTAAAACTTCAATACTTAAAATTTACAAACGAAGCTCTGGAAATGTAATATCTTTTGTAATTTCATATTTATATGAAACTGGAGTCTTTGTGTTGATTGTATTTAAAACCAATATTGGTTTAAAGTAATGGTTGGGAAGATGATAAGAGTTGTTTCCAAACTAGAACCACGATTTGAAGTACGATATAACAAACAAGTTCATCTAAATCATACTAAATATTAATACATTTTTATCGATTTATATTTAATAAGCACAATATATTGAATTATTTATAATTTTTTTATAATTATAATAATTTGGAAGATATATGAATATTTTTAAGACATAAAGATGTAGTGGAATGAAAAAGTTTGAATACCTCGGCTTACACACAAAATTGAAAATATAGTCTGAAAAATGAACATATTATGGTAAAAAAATAAAAAACGTATTAATAATTGTATTAAAGATTTTGATTTATTTTTTCGCACTATTAATAGTCTTGTAAATGTATTAAGAATTCATATTTTCTTAGTTTTTCTTCGTAAATATAGACTAACATTTTTTAAGAAACGGGTACAAAATTTTACCGACGATTTCCTAACTTGTGTAATGATGTTTTAAATATTGAAATTATCCTTTTTTCTTTTTTGTATTACTGTAAAGCGTAAAGCTTGAAAATTAAATAGATGGTTATAAATAAAAGTTAACCCTATGGCGTTAAAATGACACTTCCATAATTTTATTTTCATAGTAGTTTTAAACAAAAATTTGAGTGAAACGAGAAATTTATTGGTTTTATCATGATTTCATCAAAATTTGATATCACAATTAAACAGAGAATGTAAGCTATACTACATAAAACAATAAAAATAGTAAGATAGGTACTAGATATAAGCAATGGTGTCAATTTGATACTTCAGAGGGGTAATTTTTGAAATTTTTTTACCAGTTTTCCATAATGAAGGAAATCAATTTTAGATAACTTATCCTCCAACGACATATGCATATCCATACAAAGTAAAATCATGCTTTCATGATAACACTACTGGAATTCCGTCCCATTAACTAATAAAAATTTATTAAAAATTATTAAAAACTACCTATCAACCATAGTATCAAACTCCGTCCCCGGAGTTTAGCCGACGTTAAATCCTCCTTTATTTTTGCTTAACAATTACCCTCCATTAATATACAACATATGTCAAATTTACGACGCTATAAAACATATCTTCGGGGAATAATTAAAATAAAAACAGGCAAATCTCCTATGAAACATAAAAGAAACTCTCAACAAAAAAAAACTTCAAAAGTAATCACCTTTATATTAAGCTGTGAACTACTCAACAAAATCTAACTATAAAATAATACACCTACAAATTATCTTAAGGGTATTTTCAGGGGCGAAATTTCAATGAAAAATCTGGGAGTGCTGAAGCCTTTCTATCTTTTTCATATTCCTTAATGGTTATAAATACCCGCAACCCATACAATTCAATAGTTAATAAAATATTTGGTAAATATTTGAATATTTCTAAATTTAAATTGTTCGCTTTAATTTTATATTTGTAATGCTCATATAGTGAATTACTCGTCTGTAAAAACAAATATTTCTTTCATAAAACTTTTAGATTCTAAGTGAAGCGAAGAATATTATGGTTTTATAATGATGTTTATATTTTATTTTTTTAACATTATTTCGCATAGAAATACTGGTCCAAAAGTTGTTTCTATGAACTTTTTAGTTAGATCATTTTTTTTAAATCTTAATAGTTTTTCTATGCGTGAGGAAAACACCGTCCTAAAACGGTAAAAATATAAATAAGAAATTCACTTTTCAGATTTTAGTTATTTAGTCATAATTACAAAATTAATATGGCTAGAAACTTGAAACTTTTACCTTGTAGCAAAGATATTTTTTTTCGTATTTTAGATCATTTTCAAATAGCAATTTTGATTTAAATATAGAATTTTAAAAATACCTAATGTTTTGAAAGTAATAACATTTTTATTTTTGGATATCTAGTGAAAATTTAATATCACCTAACTCATATACAAGTACTAACTTACCAATAATGAACATTTTTTTAAAAATCGTTAGTCTGAAATTTATTTCATAACCATTTAAGTAAATGTTTATACTTAAAATTTGTATGGATTTTACTGTTTTTACATCAATATGTCAACATTAAATGTTTACTAAAAAAATTTGGTCCATCCAATCATAATGAAACAATGAATACAGATAAATAATTGGTTAAAAAAAAAAAAAATTAATAAAATTGTAAAAAATAAAATGTTAAACAGGTTGATAAAAAAAAAGAATCTACCAATAATTAGAATAAAAATGGTAAAATATACTCATCAATGGTTAATTTTTAAACCGAATCTTTACTCAGTCATTCAATATGATGGTTTAAGTTTAGGGATTTCAAAATTTGTTTACCCTACCTATTACTATTATCCAGTTCGAGGAGCGAAAAGAGGAAGGACGAACTTCCACTACCATTATTTACAGTGGTCGAAATGGCTCAAGTGGTGCTTTATAATTCCGATTTCCTGATATCATCATAATTTATTATTCTTCACACCTTGTCTACCTATAGTTTTTTTTTTTTTATAGTTCACATTAAGTATATTATCTTAGTCCGTGGTTCTAAGTACGGATATAATTCGAGTTGCGTAACAGCTTATACTAAATCATACGATAAGCCGGGCGCCCGAGTTTGAATGTTAAAAACCATTTTTACTGAAAAAAAAAATGTCTTATATATAACTATAAAAATGATAAGTATTTCATTTTAAAATACAAGTTTTAGGAGAAATGTGTTATTCTAAACAAGTAGAGGGATGAAAACTGTAAATAAAAAAAAGTAGAGGGATGCTATCCCTCTGTATCCCCCTTCACTTCAAGCACTGATTATTTAAATAATAAATTTATATATTTATACAAATGCTCTGTTTTTCTATACATAATGAGTAATGAGTATTTAAATTTAAATTAACATCAACACATTTGGAGATGCTAAACACACCCAAGCACTCCCCAAATTGCACCTATGGGTATTTGAGTATTTCATAGAAAATGTTGTAGATATAACTAAACGAAAGACAAACAATGTAATTATGATTATCTTCTATCGCCATATTCAAACATATTTTCTTTTAGACAATTATAAATAAAAACTTACCTCAAAATCTTGATCTAAATATGCCATTGTATACAATTTTATATAAAAATAAATCTGTATAAAATCATTAAGATAGTACATAAATAAATATACTGGGTATTTATACAGTGGTTAAATTTTAAAAATCTAAACAGTTTATATAAATAATTAGTTTTCAAAAGGACATCATTGACATTATCAAGATTTAATAGTTTTTTTTTTTTTTTTTTTGACAAAGGAAATAATTGGTACAGTGAAAAGACCATATCTTTTCAAGTTACAATTATAGTTTTATTTGCTCCAGACACAGATAATGTTACTTGTTTTATACAAAATCATAATAATCTGGTAACAAGTTTTGTACAAAACAAGTACAAACGGAAAATAAATATTTATAAAGTAAAAAAAAAAAAATCTAAAACAATCAACAAGGAATATATAATATATTATAATATAATGTAGGTACTATTGCATGTGAGTTAAAATACAAATAATCAAGTGGGAAAGTAATTTTCTTAATTTGTTTATCTAATAAATATTTTTAATTTACAAATACTTTAAATTATTTTAACATAATATAAATTTTAAATTTGCTAGATTTTTCCACGATTATGCAATATAATATGAAATGTTAACAAAAGTAATAACCAAAAAGATATTATTTAATTTGGGAAAATTTAGAATGGCAGTGTGTTTGCATCCTTTAAACTCAACATTCCCACAAAACTTTACTAATTGACAGGAAAAAAAATAGATAACTGCTTTGAGCATATCAATTTTTATATGTAACGCGTGCCCAACATTATTAAGAACCAAACGTAACAGAGAAAAATATATATAATTTCCAATTGTTCTACTTTCAAAATCACAGACCATTCAGGACAATGTCCTCTCCTCATCATCCACACCCAACAAACTTTAACAATCTTTTTAGAAATTTTTCCAAAATAAATTTTTAAGTACGTGAAAAAATCTTAATTATTAAAAGTAAATAATAATTAATTTTGTTAGAACAAATATTTAAAATTTAAATAGACTAGAAAAAAGATCTGTAAATAAAATAGGTACACATAAAGCTGACATCATGAAATTGTTTTTTTTTAACTTAATAAACATATTTTTAATTTCAAATATCTAACACAAAATAAAACATTTATATTATATACATATAATATTAGTAATATAACTGTATATATTTAAATTTTTTTAATTACTTTTTGAAATTTTCTTATGTATTGGAAAATTTGTCTATATTTTGTACTCTTGAGACTAAATGTTTTAAGCACTACAATAAGAAAAGGCAAAGGAAAAACATAACTGGCAAATATTGTTATTCATAAAACTAAAAGTATTAACTTGAAAATATTGATGTTGAAATTATTAAATTGTTATACAATTTCAAACAATAAATAAATATGTAAAAACTGAATAAATTTTGGAATGATTAATAAGCTAGAACAAAAATAGTTTAACAAAAGTCAACTTTGGGATAAAATTCAAATAAAAATGTAACAATTTTCTTAATAAAATATAAAACAAAAACATCAATCTGGTAGTTGTTACTAGAATTTTAAAAAAATTGTCAACAAATATTGCACTAATAAAGAAATTTAGAGGGATCATTTAGACAAGCTAGAAAAGACATTTAACATTGCACAATCAGTTGGTAACTCATGTGCAATTAGAACATAAATCCGATGACTTAATAAATTCACTTTCCAAATAGGATGAATATCATCCCCACCACCTTGTTATATTATACTATTCGTTAGACCAACTAAATTAATTAAAAACAATTTTCAAATTTCAATAGTTTGTATGAGTGTGTGTGAAAAAAATTGAATTATATAATTTTTATAATTTTTATATCATATGGAGGTTTATTGTGGACTAGTGCTTTCAGCTGGCACCAATGTTGCTACAGTGCTTTTTTCGTTGCACTCAGCCATTTTATCGCAATAATCCCTGAAATAATCGCGGAAACGGGACCATGACTTTTCTGGCACCGTAATTGCCGTTCTAAAGTTTCCTTTAACCTATAATTACGATTAAAATTAGTTAATTATTAAGTTTTAAATAACATTTGATGGTTTAATTAAGTATAATTTAGACTTGCCGTAGTTGTTACCTCCGATATACGCATGTAAATTCCACGGTTATTTTGACCAACATCAAAATAAAAATTTTTGTTATCAACCCTCATGTGACGACCATCAGGTAAATCACCTTTGAAGCCACCATCATCTGTACCAAACTCGTCTAGTAGATCTGTCAAATTATCACGGAACTCTATCATCCCTTGCGCTGGGATAGCAACTTGAGAACGTGGGCCGCCACGAGTTATGGTTTGGGAAACCTATAATGGACATAATGGATGTATACAAAGAATATACAATTTTTTTTAATTTGACAAAAATAGTTGGACAAGAATAAATTTCAATTACACGAAGAAATCTTCCACGTGCATTTTCCTTAAGGTCTAAATAATAACGACGGTTGTCCTTGATCATCATTTCAGACTTCAATTTTCCGTCTTCAGGAACGGTATCTGGATTTGGTGGTCCTATAAAATATTTTCATATTATATCGATTTAAACTAATTTAAATATAATACCAATATTTGATTGAAAAGTGTTTATGATTAAATATTTAATTCATGATTTTTAATTATTATTATTATTTTTTTTTGTTTAATAAAAAAATAATTACCTAATTGTGAGTAAAACTCGCTAAAAGTACCAAGATGGTCTCTAAAATCTGCTGCTGTAGATAATGCCAAAAAAATTTGACTTCTTCTGCCATCAGCTCCAATCTATTAACAAATAATTAATTAATTAATAATTGATTCACATTTAAAATTATTTTATAATACTTATGGTAGATAATAATTTTTGATTTTTAAAAATGTGTACAAAGTTTGCCTTATTGAAATGAGGTGTTAAAAAAATGGAAATATTTTTTTTATATTTTCCATCAATATTTCAATACTTTGTTTATGATTTTGAGCATGTATAGCTTATATATTTAAATATATTTTTTTTTTTCGAAGATTTTTAGGAAATTTTAAGTAAACTCCCCATAATATTGGAAAGGCCATTTCTCAATTTTTTTTTTCAATAATTTCCCCAAACAGAATAATACACTAAAATGAATTTCACAAAATAAACATAAATATCAATCATCATAATATACAAATCATAACCTTTTTTTCTTTTAATTTATAAATAATAAAACAAATAAGTAACTTTTATATATTAATACCAGATATGTTTAACTGATATAATTAAGCTTTAATAAAATAAATAATTTTACTAAATTAGTATTTGAGTTAGTTACTAAAAATATTAGATTACTTTGTTGTATCACTGTAAACAATGACAATCTAAAAATCTATAGTTCAAATTAAATAAACTACAGAGGAAAAAATATGATTTTAATATAAAGAACATTTTCACTAATAAATATTATATTTTGATAAAATTTATTTCATTTCCAAGAATATAAAACTATAGAATCTACTACAAAATGGAATGCCACTTCACTAAATATGTGCTTTTTTATTTAATTAACAAAAAATAATTATATATTTACTTCAGCAACTTTTATGAATTTTCCTCTTCTATTTTGTTTGACATCCAAGTAAAAACGTTTTGATTGTATTTGAAGCATTTTGGTGGCCAGCTCCAGTTCATTACTTTGCTGTTGTTGACCTAAATTACATAAAATGTATAATTACTTATAAATTCGTACTTCAATGCATAAATTATGAAAAAAATAAACATCAAGATTAAAGTAAAATACGTAATTAGAAACAGGAATATAACAAAATATTACATTTACCAAATATAATTTCTCTATCAATATCTGACATAACAAAATCTTTAGGTTTTTGAATACTATATTCTAAAAATTCACACTATATATACAATAATAATATCCAGTAAATACAATAACATAACGTTATATGTTAAAGTAAAACTAAAGCGCAAAACGTTCAATATGATCACATTTCGTTAATAAAAGATCAACAGCAGAGCAATGCGACTAAAGAGGTACAGTGCTTGGGGATGGTAACAACACTACTAGCAGGGATTAGGTCAGGGCGCTCAATAAGTGGGTCACGTCAGCTGATTCAACACATAAAGACAACGGGTCGCGGATATGCACTTGCACGAAACGGTTTTCATATTTAAACGTTTATGCTCTTTTTATTCCTAAATAAATCGGTATCCAACCGTAGTTAGAAAAGATTATCATTGTATTTAACACATCACAAGCAAAGACACTAAGAGTTGTAAATTAAACTAATAACAAATTAATATTGTACAACTAATAATGTATATCAGGGGTGTGCAACTGGCGGTTCGCGGCTTTAGTATCTGGCCCATGCTATATTTTAAAATTACATCATACAATGTCTATACTCTAACTTATCGATATAATAATTGTTATCTCGTATTAAACATCGTTATGTCTAAATGTCATATGTATGTACAGTGGCGTGCGCAGGGGAGGATGATGGGGGATATATCCCCTCATGGGCTTTTGTTTTTAGTCTTAAACGTTTCAAAACGTATTTAAAAAATACGATGGAGCAGTCAAGGTTAAATGGATTGACATTAATGAACATACATCAAAACATTCCATTATCTACAGAACAAATAATTAATGAATTCAGTGTATAAGCCAGAATGATGAGGAAGCCTTGATTGCTTTTTTTTTGTATAATAATTAAGAATAAAGATTGAAAATAAAACATTTTCATTTATGACAACTCCTCCCCCTACAAAATTCCTGCGCACCCCACTGTGTGTGTATAAGTATACCTTTCAACCCAATGGTGGTTTTAAGGTGGTGGGGGGAGGGATAGGTGGATCCCCTTCAGCCGTGCGAAACTAAAAATATGAATGAGCAGTTTACTAAAAATCGTTTTGGCGATAATTTTATGTCAAAATTGTTTACTGTTTACAAAAATGTTTGCTCCTATAGAAGTTTTACTGTTAATCGAGTTTGAATAAAAGATTATTTTTATTTTAATTTTTTTATTGATACCTAAATTTTTATGCTATGCAATTGTAGTATAAAGTTAATAGAATTTAAAATTACTTCTCGTGTATCAAGCATTAGGAAAAAATAAATGGGATATGTATGCAAATTGTAAGTATATTCAAAATATTTTTAACCCTCCCCCCCTTGTAGCTTCTCAAGAACCACCACTGCTTCAACCATAGGTGTTTGTACCGAACTATTTAACTATATCAATTTCATCGTATCATTCTGTCGTGTATGTTGAATTTATTATTTCCGTGTATATAAATGCTAATTAAAATTTATATTTTGAATAGCTTTTTTCTTTCTATGCTCTGGTCCGCTAGATTTTAATTTTCTAAAAATTGGCTCTCTAGAAACTTTGAGTTGCTCATCCCTGATGTATATTAATAATGTTTAAAAAATAACAATATAATTTAGATCTAATGGGAAATTTGTTTTAAAATCATCTTATCTTCAGAAATTAAAAAATGTGAATCAGTTTTTTTTATTAAATATGTATATAAAAGAAATTAAATATTCAAATTATTATTTATACATATATATATATATAAATACAGAGGCTTACGAAGGGGGTGTGCTAACGGGCTGAAGACCCCCTATTGCCCGTATTATTATTCTTTGTTTTTAAATCTAACAATGATTTAATATAGTATCCCAAAGCGTGTATTTACACATTTATTAGAACCATGGACTAAGATATTAATAAATATTATATATAACTTAGTCCTTGATTACGACCACAGTCCATTGATGGGTATTTATACTCTATGATTATAATTGAACAATTGTTAGCAACAATCCAAACATCTTTAATCTAGCCAATATTCCAAAGATCAACCATGGCGGAGGAACGTCTTAATGAATTAGCTTTAGCAAATATCAATAAAAAAGAAAATCTGGCCGAATTGGAAGTTCTACAACAATATTCAAAAAGATCACATAAGCGACTATAATTATTAGACTGGACCAAATAAAAAGGTAAAAAAAAGAAAAATAAAAGATATATTTTATTTTTTAAGCCAATGCGCCTGTTACAATTAAGTAATTATTTATTTTCAAGCCCTCCCCCCCATTGTAAAATTCTGCGTACGCCTCTGTATATATATTATATATAAACATTTATTTTACTTACAAATATTTTCCTAAAATTACAGGAGTTAAAATAAATGGTAATACAGATTATCAGAGTTAAAAAATATGCACATTAATAATAGAGTATATTATTACAAAAGTATTTTATTTTACATTTGAATCATTAAATGATTTTTGTAGATCATTATAAAAAAATTGTAAAAATATTGGCAGTTGAGTATTTAGGGAGTAGTCCATGTGTAATATTATTATTAAATGCGGGCAAGGTTATAAATATAATTTACTTAAACGTATGCCTTTAGAATTTTATCTAGTTGATGATCGGAGTAGTATTTTTGGCTATGCCATTGTAAAAAAGTATTTTAAAATGTACTATCATTAATTATAGAAACAACAAAACACGGATGTACATAAAAATAATAATTAACGAATATAATTAAGTCTTTCAACAAAACTATTTATATATTTTTTAACTTTCAATGTTATGATTTAATAATTAACTTACATTTATTATATATAACTGGCCAAGTATTAAACTATAGGTACAAACGAAATAGTTTACCTATGTTATAATTTAAAATGTATAAAACATGCAATATTATAATAAACTCTAATATAAATAATCATATATACCATAGGACCTTTAGTAAATTACCTTATTGACGCTCTCTGACTGCGCTGTAATTATTAATATATTTTTCCCCAGTAACAAATTAATTACAAAAAGAATTAATTTCACTTTTTAATAATTAACATTAGGGTTTGAATTAGAATTCAATTATTTAATTTAATATTCCAATATTCTTATTTAAAACTAAAATAATTTTTAAATGCTATATCCATTTCCACGAAGAAAAGTTAATTGCAATATTTTTAGAAATTCATTATCATCATATATTATTTGGTAAAATTAAAGATTTTAAATATTTAACGATTTAAATAATAGTACTTTCGGTTTATTACTTTTTTATAATACATAGTATAGTAAAATAAAAATTAAATTTATACCATTTCAAAATTTATAAAAATTGATGTGTCATAAATAAGAGATATAACTGAATAGGGCTTTTTATTCTACAAGGTACCCAACAATACATTTATAGTCTAACATTATAAATACGCTTTTAATTTATTATTATAAATAAGTTATTATTATTTTATATACATAAAACATGCATCGTTGGAATTTTAGTAATTCAACTAGGTATAAATGTTTTCAAATATTACAATTGATTAAGTAAATACAGTGCTTCAAAATGTATGTTTACTTTTACTTTGAACATTTAATTTTATATAATATATGTCAGCTGTAAATTTTAATTTTAAATTCATTAAATTGTTAAATATTAAATTATCAATTATTTATATTATTTATTTTATTGTAAAATAGAGTTGTTAATGTCGTTGGTGCAAAAAAGAATAATTTTATGGAATAAATGGCACAAGAATAGCGATAGTTAGTTTTTTTTTAAAAGGTATTTTTTAAACAAATAGTATAATACATATGCTCTCTGCAAGTATATTTTGCTGAATTATAAGGACATATATATATAAAAAAAATTGTAATTTAAAGGCAAACAAAAACCACTTTCTCAAACCATACTTGATCACGTTTACAATATGTGATCACTGAAGAAAGGTTTAATTCATAGGTTTGTAACTTTCATGCTACATGCTCTAACAGCTATTCAACTACATTGGACACATATGAATAACGTCAAGCGAAATCGTTCGCATCAAACAAAATTCAAATTAACGCCAGACACTTCGTTATACAAATACAATTGTTACTCATATGAACTAAAAATGGAATAACAAATAGAAATAAATTATTAAAATACGACTGCCACTAAAATATTCTTCCATAATTCCAACTAACATCACTTTTTGAAATGTATCCATTGATAATGCCATTTAACATTTTGGAATTCTTCATTATAAAAAAGATTTTTTTTATTACTGTATAAAATTAACTTTCAAGTATACCAAAGCAAGCTGTCTAAAGTCAGAACATTCACAACTACTTTACTGTAGAGTGTAGACAGATAGTCTATTATTCTACATGATTTCCATACCACCTTGTACTTCGAAAAGATAAAGGATTTATCTTTCGGTTCGTGTTGACGAGACTACTATACGACTTTAACATAAATACCCTACCACTACCCCAGATTTTTATCGAACATAAATTATGTTAAAACAAAGAAATAAAATTTATATAAGTAATTATTTGGATAGAAATATTGAATAACCAGTACAAATATCTAGAAAGTATGATAATTGACGAAATGTATAGAAATAATACTTTAGTTCAGGGGTCTTCAACCTTTTTAGGCAGCGGGCCACATATTATTTTTTTTAAATCTTGCAGCCGCATTCGTTGTAAAAACATGTATTATATATAAAAATTCAGTTTTATTCTTACAATTTTTAAAATTAGGTAGGTAAATTTAAAATTACAAATTAGTAAATTTAATAATTTAAAAAAATTGCTATTGAACCATTTTTCTTGAAAAACGAGTTTTTCATCCGAGATTTTACGTTTTTTACTCACCGACATACTGTACAAATATTACGAAGAAAAAGTATAAAATTGAAATTTATACACATAAAGGAGAATATTGTGCTCTTTCCACAATCGATTACGAACCAACAGACAATAATAATTATATATTGGTAGGTAATTCAATTTATATTATCACATATTTCTGATAGTGATAGCTTAACTGTTATAATTTTATTGAACAAGAAAATGTAAATGCTAAATTTAAAATGTGATCACGGGCCGCATATTATGACAGGGCGGGCCGGGAGTTGAAGACTGCTTTAGTTAATGATTTTAACAACATATTACATTTAAAAAATATAATGGTCTACCTAATTCGGTTTCATAATTTATAACTAATAGTAATAATTAAGTAGTATTAGTTATAATTTTAGAAACATTAAAACTATTTTTTAATAAAAGTTTATTAATACTATAAAAAAAAATTTTATTATAATTTAATGTTTAATATAACACTAATAATTTATATAAAAAAAGGTATATAGTTTATAATTTATGTTGAAAATATCATTAGTAAATATATAGTTTTTGAAGTTATAATTTAATAATAAAAACTTAAGATAAATTAATACACTTTTTTTTTTACTTATTGAATTGTTTTGCAAGTAAAGAATATAAAGTATCAATTATTATATTATATAATCAAGCTACCAGGTTAGGTTTCCAAATTATGAACAAGACAATTAATTAAAAGATAAGGGTAAACACAGAAAAATAATTTGAAAGAGGATTAAAATAATTAATTTTTATAATTTTTATCTACTTTAGATGAAATCAGATTACTTAAATTTTTCTGGGTTAAATAAGGGATAGACTATTACAGATTTAACTTCCTCAACCCCAATTGTGTTTACATCAGATATGACCTAAGGGATATAAAACAATAAATACATTTAATTATGAAATACAAAAAATTATTCTTGTTGGTAGTTAGGCATACTTTCAATTATTTTAAAATCAATTTAGTGATGAAAATAGTAGCAATTAATCTACATATAAAAGTATATTGATAAAAATACTTAGTTATGAAACATTTTTTATTGATGACAAATAATTTTAGTTCACCAGTTAATTGATTAAATAAATTGCTATTGTTTTATAAGAACATCAATAACTATTATGGTAGTAATAATAGTATAACCTATTTTATTTTTGTTTTCAAAAATATTTTGGATAATTTTGATTATAACCTAAATACCCTTATCATAAATACTGATCTTCAGGTGAATATAGAAAACTTAATTAGAAATTATGATACAATGGGATTGTATAAATAATTATATGTAGAATGATATTTTGAATCATTATACTATCATTTTTCTTATAACAGTAAAATCTTTAAGATGAATTAATTAGTTTACATCAAGTAAATTAAATACAATAGAACTAAAATATTTATAAAATGTTTTGATTTTATTTATGAACTGTTTATTTTTGTTTATCAGTAGTTCCTAAAATTCTGTAGAATAAAAAGTGCTTCAAAATAATTCTTGAAGCTACAGGTTTATAAACAAAAAATATTATTTTAATAATTAATGTTATCATACATTTTTTTTTTAAATCTACACTATTATATTACTTATGTATATAACCAGAAATACTTTAGTATCACATTTACCTAAAGGGTTTGAAGATTATAAACATCATACAATGTTAAGTTGAATTTTATTCATTTTGAAATTTGTACTGTGAAAAATTATTTTTTAGTATGCTACTTAATTAACTTAATTAATTTTAATACAGAATGATGATGACATTTGTAGTTGAGTAAATAAAGAATTACTGAAAAAGCAAATAAATTGTATTTTTATCAAATTAGATTGATTTATATATTAAATATAAACAAAAATTAATATTACATAAGAATTTTATAGATTATGTTCTAATTGTGATTTATAATTTACATTAATGAAGTGATAGTGATAAGTATATATACTATATTAGAATGTTAACAGACTATAACAAAGATTAGCCACCCAGACAAGTATGATTTTAAATAAAAATATAACCAATGTTTTAATATTTTGCTTTATAAAATATTTAAATTAATGAGTTTTTGATTTTAGATAAAATATGTTCTTAGTACAAATTTGATTTTTATTTAATAGAAAATATCAAAATAAATAATAATAAATCTTCTCATAGTTTTTATAATCAACATTATATGAATTATACATAAATAATTTGAAAATACATATTTTTTGACTAATTTAAATGAAAATTATAAGATGTTTAGTATATTACCAGATACTCCTTAAGCAGAAATAGTTTATCAACGAACTGTAAGTACCCAAAATAATAATTTTTTTTTGCTTTAAGTATTATTAATAAAACTTAGTAGTTAGTAGTTAATTGATCAGTGATCTAAGTGCCAGATATAAACAAAACATTAATTTTGTAAGTGATCAAAATAAATCAAATAAATTAAAAATAACATGCTAATGTCATACACTAATGTTTTTCGTTTGTTATTTATTGTTAATATTTCCACTGTATGTTAAGATGATACTTATATTAGTGAACTTGATAGAAATTATCAAAATAATAAATAAATTAATAAATAATTCTAATAATTTTCAAACATTGTAAAATTAAAAATCAAAATATACAATTGATATTAAATAAAATATTTATAAATGTAATAACTAAATAATATCAGTTAACAGAACATGGCAAAAACTTAAACAGAACTAATTAAAAAGTATATGAATACACTAATTTATTAGTTCTAAATGTACACAATATTATAGTTACATAGATAAAATGTTATATAACATATACTGAGATGTCCAGTATTTTAGTTCATTAATTGGTTGAAGAAGCATTAAATAAATTGTTAATAAGCTTAACAACACAGTTATGTTTTTAAATTATCAAGGTAAAAAGCAAAAACAAATACAAAAATTACAAATTTCAAAATAGTTAAATACATATAAAAAAAAAGTATAACATAAAACTAATTAAAATACTAAAGATCATATCTTATATACGAGTTAACGATGTAAAATGAACACGAAAAAACTTAAGAGATTATTCTTACCGGAGTCAGAACCTGTAGCTCCATTTGAAGCCTGCCCTGAAAACAAAAAAAGTATTAAGTATTAGTAAGTTGTTTAGATGACGAGAACTGCTAAATATTAGGCTTTGACAATATGCAATCTGAGGATCAGTCGAGATTTAAGTACCTCGCCTTCTACTGAGTCGCGGGTCCATGGACATTCCAACCAATATGTTTATCACAAATAGTGCAAATACTAATTATGCGAAACTGTATCCTTTGTAAATGTACATTCGTCTACAGGTGACTTGTAAATGTGAGATTTAAATTGTCTGTCACAGAATCAAATGCAGGAGTGAAAAACATATAGATATAAACATTTTATTTATTTCAAAACTTCGAAATCCGGTCGCCTAACAACAAAGTGAAAAAAGAGTTTTGGGTGGGAGGAACGCGACGAGACATATGTCGTTTTCGTCGTCACAAGGAAAATGGATAAAATGATCTATGGCAAAGGAGAGCCGCAGTGGCGGCAGCGACGACGATGGCACTACACATTACGCAGAGACCGCCGGCTGATTCGACGCGCGGCGGGGACGGCGTCCGCGGGCTCAGGGTCAGCCATCTTGGATTCTCGAATTCGTTATCTCCCGAAAGAGGACGAAAGCCATTCGCTTTGTTAGCCGCCGGCCGTCCGCGCTAAGCATTCCACGGACGGTACCATTCGCTATTTCGCTCAGCCCAAATCAAAATCGCAATCGTCGTGTTACTCACTTTGGCTCTGAGGCTGTTCATCACCGCTCTCTCGGTCCGACATCATCCGACAACGCACAATCACACAAACCGCCGCCGCGCTCTTGCCGCCCCGCTACCTGCACACACACCGCACCGAAGTCCGCGACACAGCCGGCGAACGATTTTTTCTCCCTCCACTCTTGCCTATCACTCTATCGGCCGTCTCACTCTCACTATCTCACACGAGCACTCCCACCACTCGCTGTTCTACGTTGCACGCACGCATACACGAACAAACACTCGTCATGCGCACGCGCGCTAACGAACACCTCCCCCCCTATACTGTCTGTAGCCACCATAGTTTTGCTTGTTCTTTGATCAACAATTTATTTTTTTTTACGCACTGGAAAATTCTTGTACATGCAGTCAGCTGATCGACAAGAGGAGCCAACATTGAACATGTCTGATGTACTTTGGTGCTACAACGGCGGCCGTTCGCCGCGCCATCTACCTGATTGGTTTACCGCCACAAACGCATCGTATTTCCATCCGTGACTACTGATTGCTAAACCAAATTTAACTCACTCACTTGTATTCTTAGCATGATTTAAGATAATTACTTTAAATCATGATTCTTAACTACAAATGATGTCGATAAGTTACGTAAATAAATATATATGCCATTGTAATATCGCGTTCACTTGAATTTTGTTGAAGTTTGCCAGTGGTGTTAGGGGGGGTTATAACCCCCCTCGAAAATGTTAAATGTATGTATATTGTCTATTGATCATAATTAAAACACAAAAAATTAAAAAAAAATTGAATGTTACATTTTTTATAACCCCTCCCAAAAAAAAATTCTGCAACGCCACTGAAGTTTGCTTACGAAATAGCATGTGCGTTCAACTGTCGATATTCCGCGTACTTGTATCGTTAATTAATAAATTATAAACCATTTACTTAGTTTTTCATGGTTTTGTCATATATATATTTTTAATATTTTAATATTTTTTGTTATATCTAAACATTATGCAGATGAAGAATAATCAGCTACCTATGATCTCTTGTGTACGGTGTACATAACATTAAAATATATGTAAAATATTTTGGTACATTTACATATAACAAGTAGGTACTTATTGCTAGTCCTAACAGAGTATTCAAATATTTAATGGATAAATAATTTAGACTGACCATTATGAATTTCCTTATGATATATACATGTAGATAAAAGATATAATGGTATGTTTGTACTCGTGTGTAGATGCATGCGTCAAAAAGTACCATGAGTACCATTATCCGACAAATTTTTTTGTAAACAATCTGGAAGATGACTGCTTTGTGACATCGCTAGTGTGAATAGAAAAAAACAAGCATCTATTGCAGAGACGGCCAAACGGTCGATCGCGGAAGATTTCAGAGTCGATTATGTTAGAATTTATTTTTAAGCCACGTGCACGAAAATTAATCGTGGTGGTTATGAACAAATTGTCGATGAGTTTTATCTGTATACTTTCTAACTTTCTATCTTTTATTCTGGTTTATAAAAAAAATTTCCAATAAAGTCGATTTTCAAAGGTGAAGTATATTTTTAGTAGATCGTGGCCGAAAAAAGTTTGGCCACCTCTGATCTATTGCATTCAATAAAGATATGAGTTAGATGAAAGCGGAAATGAATGTTAAAGAGTAAGTTGAATTGAAAATCTAAGTGAAAGAGCACGAGTATAAACATACTTTAACATCTGTTTTACATTGTATTCATATTTTATTTTTAGATTCTGAATGAAGCGAGGTTTAACCATGATGTGTAGATTTTTTTTTATTTCTTTTATACAATTTCAATCAATTTTTTAGTAATTGATATGCTCCGATTACTAATTATCAACAATAATTTTTTTTCGATTGTAAATTTGTTTAAGCTTATACTTTAGAAAAATAATTTTTTAACTATTATGACAGTTTTCCAGTTCATTGAGAAAACCTGATAAAAAATTACAAAATAAAATCTCAACATTTATGGGATATCGGTTTCCGACCAAATCAAAGTTTTTTTTCTTTGTAAATTGAAATACATTAATAGTACAGATATGACATTTTTAGTAAATGACAGTAGTATGGTAGTATCATTATTTTTTAAGTATAGTATCATTTTCAAATAATTTTAACTTCTTTATAACATTTCTATCCTAATATGCTCTTGGTATTTTTAATATTTTTTATTTCTAATTGGTTAATCTAGTGATAATATGATAAAATTTAAAAAAATTAGTTTTAAAAATATTATTTACCCAAGAATTCTAATGAGTTGGTCTTACTTCAATATAAAAGTATAAAAATCCAAAATCATAATTTCTTATTGTAAATCTTTAAATTATAATTTGACCTTTTTTTTTTAACCTTTCAAATTTTTCTAAAGAGGCTCCTTTACGAGAAAGTCATCGCAAAATAAGACGTATCTAAAGCTCCAGCAGTGGCGTTATTATGGCCGTGTATAGGGGTATATCCCTCCAGACGCATTTTTTTTAGAATAACTATAATTCAATTTCCGTAAGCACTAAGCTTTAAAAAACTTTAAGATAAGAAATAAGAATTCATGGATATTATCATAGTTGAGATTTATTTTTATTTTACTAATATAAAACTATAGCTCAACAACTACAATATTTGACAAGAAAATTGTATAGGTAGCTCATAGTTAAAATATAACACTGATAAATCTACAATTTATGACTCTTGTTTAGTGTTTAAAGCATGCAATACTTCACAAGAACGTGAAACATTAAAATTATTTCAAATTATTTATAATACAAATATTAATGTTAGTTATTTATCAATTATTTATTATATAATTTAAAAGTTCTTTTTATAATCATTGATATGGAATGAGTACAGTGGTTTACATATTATTACTATAGAAAATATATTATATTATATATATAAATCGACAAACAATGTGTCATTATATTATTCTATTCAGTGGTATAAGGTATTAACTATTTTCGAATATTATATTACTATAAACGTTGAGCAACAGTGCAACACCAATGTCTATTACATAGATTCTTAACCTTTTCTTAGTCATGGACCCCTTTAAAGCGTAAAATAAAATCACGGACCCCCCTGCAAAAAAAAAAAATGTATGTATAGGTAAATAAATATAATTTTTATTATACGGCAACGGGTCAACAGAAGTGATAGGTTTCAGTGTTAAATTGAACTGCTCGTTAGATTGTATTGCCATGTTATATTATTTTACGATTACGATAGCTTTTTATGGCATATAAGATTATCGTAATCTAAGTTTTATATTTAAAAACATTGTTGTCTTTCAAATGACTTTCGAATGTTTTAACAATCATAATTATTTTAAAAATACTATCAAAACAAATTTATTTTGACTTATTTAAAAAAAACTCACAGCCACCCCATGGACCACCGAGTAGTCATCTACGGACCCCCAAAGGGTCCATGGTCGTCGGGTTAAGAACCTATGGTCTATTATTATTTATATTATAATAAAACGAATAATAAAATAATATTATTTTTTCTTTAACTGTGGACATAGGCGTAAACTGGGGGGGGGGAAGATGGGGCAATTGCCCCACTTAGAATAAATAAGAAGAGGTAGTGCTCCCTCTGATATTTAACATACCTTGTTTTAAAATAAGTACAAAATAGCTGGTTATAGCTATTACTACACAATTTTTTTTTTTTTTAAATCTTAACTTTCAATTTTCACTTATCTAACATAATGTTAGAAAATGAATAATTTTGTATAATAATATGTAGGTAGTAAAGCGGCATTTAGCCGCGAACAGGGTTGGACTAGGCCACCGGGGCACCGGGGCATGCTCCGGTGGGCTGCTGTAATTTTGGTTAAATAAAATTACTTAGATTTTTTTGTTTTTAATTTAATGCGTCTACCTTCTTTTTTTTAAATAAAATAAAAAAAATCGCCTTGTAACATGACATTACTAATGGATGCGGTGACACAGGATTAGATAACTCGGAGTTTGAAAATTTAACATATTTAATGTCGCAATAGGCCGATTGATAACAATGATTTCATCAGAATATTTATAAATAGAAAAATTGTAGGAAATTTGAATACATAAGATGTGTACAATATGTTAATCATACGAAGTACCGTTCGCGTTTGTTCAAACATTTTATCAAAATAAAATGTTGGTATGGGTCACAGTCTTAGAAGATTAATTTTCTAAGACCATGGTATGGGTAGACATCGTCGCGCAAGATATGCGATAACAATATTGTTTTTCGACAATAATAATTTTTATAAGATTCATTAGACTTTTATTTAAAAACATTTTAATAGTTTTGACGTTCAATCAATAACAAGTCTGTTACTAGTTTCCAACCTTTATGGACCTTTTCGCCACATTCACAAATTAAAAATGGTTCTAGAGCCAGACAATATAAAATATTTATATGATATTCAATGACATTTACTAGTTTTGAAATTTACTGTGGGTCGCATAGAAGAGACATTAGTAGCCGACCCCACTGTTCTAACTCAATTCAAATTAAATGTATAAACATATTTAAATTAAATAATTTTTTAGTGTAAAATTTATCTTAATAGGTAGGTCATCATTATATCAATATTATAGATAAGATATATTATGCGTAAACTAGATTTATTTAAGGTATAACATTAAATCTGAAAATATTTAAATGTACTTGTGTGAATATTTTTTTTTTGAGATATGAAGATACATTTTCAGTTAAACAATAATTTGATTAGGTATCTACCTACTTATAAAGTTCAATTGAGGCCATTCGAAATTATTTTGCCCGGGCCGAGCTATAAAGCTAGTCCAACCCTGGCTGCGGACACCCTTTTCGTTAGGTATGTAATTATATATTTCCCCCTCCCCCCAATAAACATCCAAGTTACGCCGATGACTGTGGATGTGTGTCTATTGTGTGATAGTGTAAATTTAATATATTACTAAATTACATATTAAATTAAAAATGAAAAGACAGTCGAATGCCTTTATTTCTTTTTTTAAAAAAAAAGTTAAAGAAACTGATCAAGAAAACAGCTCGTCATAATGTGGTTCAGATCAAGACCTACCTAGCACAGAACTTGAGGTAATAAAGTTGAACTATTTTTTAAAATAATTTAAATTTTCATATACTTATGTAATTCTTATTTCTATGTAATTATTATGGCATACCCATGTCCATCAATTTAAAAATTAATAACACAAGGATATTTTCTTAGGAAAAACATAAAGAAACAGATCAATCTACATCAATGATTTCTGTAGAACAACCTGTAAGTACAAAGTTAGGAAAAGTTAATGATTAAAAATTAACATTTTTACAATCATCATTATACCATTTGCCTCATTTAATTTATAATAATAAATTAATATAATATTGAGATCATAGGCGTGCGCAGGGGGGCAGCTGGGTGGACCGCGGCCCCCCTGCGGACTCTGGCTTCTTCTTTAATAAATATATATCTGTACTATACAAGATAGAGAACATTTTTACATTTTACATGAATAAAGTAAATCCATTTTTAATCTTATAGTATAGAATTGATATCTGTGAATAAATGTAATAAAGTTATTAATCAGAATAATCATAACTTGCATATAATATAGAAATTGAAGATGCAATTGATACATTCAAAAACCTTACTCCCGTGGACAGAAGGATGGAGTTATAAATAGTATTTATTTTTATATTTCCATATTGAATTAAATAAATAATTTATAAAATTTAAAATATTTAATTATACTAGTAGTCTTTAGTACAAGAATCTTTGGTTCACTTTTTTTAAGGGGCTCCCTCTGCGGACAAAGTCTGCACACGCCTATGATTGAGATATATGAGATTTAATTGTTAAGGGGATGTGGGGTGCATAGCCCCACTAGAATGATAGTATAAACTTATATCCCAATCCCACTCCAGAACCAATTCCAAATTACGCCACTCAGTTCCAGAAATGACGTTCGTATACTGTCATACTAAACAATATATTGAAATACTATTAATAATAATACCAAAAAAATAAGACAACAACATAAAATTGAACGAATACTAAAATAAAAATTCAATAAGTTGCGATTTCCACGTCACCTTTCTTGAGCCCATTATTATGTTTATGTTAGTAATTAATATTTAGAAACAAAATTAATTAATATTAAATAATAAAATAAAATTACTAAATGTTAAATAAATATAGAAACAAATAAATAAAGAAATTTTTAGTTAGAAGTATTATTATATTTGTAATGTATGTCCTGTTTCGAATTAAAAACTCATTGTATGATATCATATGATATTAGATTTATACATAGTCAATAAAATTGCGATTTATTATAAATCAAAATGTATTTATTTTTTTATATATCATTATAAAATCTATAAATTATACTGTATATTATTATTTATATCGATACCTATATATTTATAATAAACCGACATATTTAATTATTATATTATTATATTAATTACTAATCTTGGCTTTTTCAAGTCCATCATTCAATATTTAGTGTTCAGAACAGTGTTTTAATAACCTATAGATATTTTGGTATCAAACTATTTATTGTATTTGTAAGAAAATAATATATTGTATCTTATTCTCTGTCAATATAACTAAGCATAATATAAAATATCATACAAGCGTCAAGGCATTCAACATAGAATACTATGTATGCTTTAATAGAAGCATATTCATGGTTCTACCACAGAATAAATTTAATCAATTAAAACATAATAATAACTACGCTCAACCAAAATGAACGATTTAAATGAATATATAATAGTTTAGGTATTATATTCTGGCTAGGTGTATAATTACAAATTACCAAACGATAGTGTTTTATTTATCTTTATACTTAATTTTCTAAATACTGGCCAAGTTACCAATTTTACCAATAAAACGTAATCCAAGGACGAAAAAGTAGTATATTATCAATTATATAAATATGAATAATACCCTAGTATAATAATTTATTAAATTATTGTACACAAAACTTTATGCAGCTATTTCTTAATAAATTAATGCTTATTGCTTAATAAAACGTAGGAGTAATTAGTTTAATAAATTATAATAAGTTCATTGTACCTACAGGCTAGGTTGAATGTTGAACTACATTTTATTTTAAAGTTAATTTATATACTATATGTTTCTATGTAATACATGCACCATGTACCACTACGTATACTACTGGAGCGATATTCACTGTCACTTTCTAATTCTTTCAAGATCTCTCTCTCTTTTTGAATGCCTCGCTCTAGTGACTATATTCTCCTGCTGTTACAACAGGTAGGTAGTAGGTAGTTGATTCTCGCAATCACGCATGCCATTCATATGAATATCGTTGATAATTGAAATATTTTAATAACATTGGAAATTACTTTTGTTAAATAATACCAATCAAAAATGTTAAAATATTTTAAGAATACGTACCTATTTAAATTTTAACAAAAATCATACATGCATTTTAAATAATTGTATTCAAGTTAACAAATTATGTGCTTAATGTTAATGACCCGTTTGTTATATTTAATTATTTTATTTGAAAGTAAGTGAAAACTTTAATGCTCTATTATATAAACTAAATTAATTGGCTTTCATATGCTACAGGTAATGTCATAAGTGTTGAAGTTTATAAAGGTAAATCATTAGGAACTTTAAACTCTTATCATCATCAAGTGGGTGGTGAAGTATTTGCTGTCAATGAATTTACATTATTGATTACTGATTTTACATTTGATGGAAGTGCTAATGATGCATTTTTCTGGGCCGGAGCTTCTAGTCGTCCAGGACCTCAAGGATTTATTTTGGCTAATGAATATGGACGGTAAAAAAATTAATTTTTACAGTTATTTAGTGTATTAAAAATTAAATATTTATATTTTTGTATTATAAATATAATAATATTTTAAAATAAATCAAAAAAATTACCTACTTACTAGATTTCATAAAATAAGGTCATATTAATTTTTATTTGAATGCATAAATTAAATTACTACATGATATACAAAAATAAAATCAAACTTTTTACAATATTATACAATTAAGTAGAAGATTGTATCAAAAAATGTTTTATTATCTTTACAGAACCGATGTGTTAAAACGATATTTAGGAAAAGAATTGAAATTAATTCTACCTGACAATAAAAAATTAACAGATATTAATTGGTTTGCTATTTATGACCTTTCAAAAAATGTAAGGAGTTCTACTTATTTTTTATTTTAATTTCATGTGATTGCTTTTTAACATGTACTTACATTCATTTATAGATTGCATTTGGTGATGTTTACGTTCCAGAAGATTTTGAACCACCTGTTAAACAAATTATTGGTGATCTCACTACTAAGTCACATGGAGTTTCTTCTGGGCCAATAGAAATATTAGATTCTAAAACTATTAAGATTCCTATGTTTTCTTATAATGGTGCTGGGAAAGGTAAATTTATTACAGTAAACTTTCAGTAAAATATCCAATTTATTAGGTGATGATTGTATATCAAGAAATTAATGTGTTCAGTATTAGTTAAGTTCTACTTAATTATTATTTACTATTGAACCAAAAATTAATTAGATACTATAACATTTTTTAACTAATTTAGGTAATTTATTTTGGGATAGGTGGGTATAATATGAATTTAATGTTGTTGTTGCTTCATAAAATTGCAATTTTTTTAATTTGGCTTCTTAATTATTTATAGATACTTATTTTATTGTTGGAAATGGACCTCAGCCATCTGCCAAAGGTCAAAAAATTCCAGATGAGTCAGGATAGTAAGCATCTAAACATTTTATGGAGTTATTCTGATTTCAGATGTTGTTAAAAATATATTGGGTTTTATTATAGTTTAGATAATTTAAGAACTTATTTAAATGAAACGATCATACTAGAACTAGTTGGAGACACTACAGTTTTTGATATTAATTGGTTAAGTGTATATGATTTAAAAACTAAAGAAAATTATGGATGGGTTTTAATACCAGATGAACCTAATGTGCCTCCATCTTTGCAAAACGTTGCTGTAAGTGATATCTGTAGATCCATCTGTTGATTTTTTACTTTTTTGTTTTTTTTGTTTTTTTAATACATATTTAATGTTAGGATAAAGTTGAAAATATTATGCACTGTGTTCAATTACATAAAAAGCTTCAACTAAGTTGGCAAGTGTTTGGTCCTCAAATTACAATACGACTAGCAGGACAAATAGAAGCTGATAATTATATGGCATTTGGATTTAGTGGATCAGAAGAAGCACCACAAATGCTTGGATCTGATATTGCTATAACTTATATTGATGGTTTCAGAGGCCATGCAATTGATTACAATATAACAGACAAATCTCCTGTTTGTATTGAGATAATTATTTTAGACTAAATGAAACAAAATAATAATATAATATTCTAAATTTTAGTGTGTAAAGGTATTGGGACAATATAAAGGAGTTTGTCAAGACATTTTAGTAGGTGGATTAGATGACAATCAAGTTCATACAGCATCTAGAGAAAATGGAATCAATATAATAACTTATAGGAGAAACTTACTATCATGTATGTTTATTTTATATAATAATAATTCAATTTTTAATTTCTAATGTTCATATTTTTTTTATTATTTAATCCATTTGATTTATAAATTTATCATATCTTAAAGAATTTATTTATTTTCTTTGATTGGAATATGTTTGTATGTTTGTATGTTATAATTTTAAAACAGTTATTTTGATCTCTTCTCATAGTCTTTTAGCATTAGAAATTAAAACAATTAAACATCAAATTGAAATTTAAGTCAAAAATGGAGTATTCAATAGGATTACAAAATATTTTAAAGTACAACACAATCTTTGATTTAATTTAATTTTTTTTAATTTGAAATCAACAAAATTCTTATGATTAAAAAAAAGAGCAATTTATCAATAAAATAACCATTTTATCATTATTATAATTATTATTATTAATTTATACACATTTCCTAAAAAATATAATTCATTGTAGATGATATTGGCGACAAAGAGTTTAAAACCAATGCTTTGAATTCAATGATCTGGGCAATTGGTCGAATGAATCATCAAAAAGAACCTGGAATCCATGATTACTTTCCGAGAAGTGTATTGAAACTTGATTTAGATCCTAAACCTCCAATTGATACATGTTATCCTTTTACTGTGAATACTGAACCTTTAAAAAGGTAAATACTTATACACACATATAACCTAATAATCGACTGTAATAACAATTATTTTTTATTTTTAGAGATGTTTGGGAACAACCAAAAATTATTGATTCAAATTTACGTATGATGACTGCAACTTTAGGACCGTCAGGTGGCAAAAAAGGATTTCAAGGTTTAACAGGTAAGTAGTTTATATTTACTTAATTTAAAGTCAAATGTATTTTTCTAATATGGAATATTACTTGTAGGCATGCCTTCACCTGGACTTGCATGGTACATAAATGGATATATGATACCGGAAATATGGTTGAAACGTGGTATTACTTATGTAGTTTATATTTATGGAGGAAATAATCCTCATAGTTCACAGTATTATCATCCTTTTGTAATAACGGATGAGCCAAATGGTGGTTATGATGGTATGACTGATAATGCACAAAAACATACTAGGATATTAGCTGGTGTTCAATATACTTTAAGAAGACAAGCTCGACCTACTTCTGGTATACATAATTATTTTTTATAATTTTGTTCTGAGGTAAAAACTTTTAAATTTAATTTTAATAGCGGGTCCATTATGTTTACGTGAACGAAAAGGATTTGATCGTCGTTTAGATGATAATTTTCTTTCATTTAAAGAATTCAATCGGTCATTGGATATGAGATGTGAACAAGGTAAATAATATAAACTATTGGTTTATTATTCATAATTTTATAACTTATTAATGTTTGTAGGTGATCCAGCTATTTTAGAGTTCAAACCAAATTCTTCTTGGCCTGATATTGTATACTACCATAGCTTTGTCCAAAATAATATGGGATGGAAGTTACACATAGTTGATAAATATAGTACAGGTAGAAGCTCAGCTGCTCAAATACAATTTAATTGTTTCTTAGGAATACTTATTTACTTAATTTTATAAAATTGTGATATTTTAAATTTATATATTTTTGTACATAATATAATTTATAGGTACATAAAAAACTGTTGTTGTTTATTAAAAATAATACCTAAACATTTACAGTTATTGTTCCTCAGAATTTCCATTTAAGAATATGATTTAATGATTTTATGAATTATAAAAAAAATATTAAAATAATTATAGTTACTTAAATGAGAAACAGTTTTTAAAATATGTCATGTCTAAAAAAATTTTTTTTGATACAATAAATATTTTAAAACTTAATATTTAATTTAACTCGTATTATTACAAATTTTAATATCTATGGTTTTTGTGTTTGTGTCACTCATAACAACTATTTTATCAAAACAAAGAAAAAAGTTTTTAGAAACATATACATAATTTATAATTTAAATTAATATTCTATAATTTATTTAATAATCAGAAGAACCTATATAATATATTATACCTATGTATTTACTTTATAAATATTAATACTAAAATACTTCTATAACCAATGACTGAAAATCAGTTTGAGAACAATTCGGTAAAAAATATACAAATAAAAATAAAGTCATTAGTAGCTCTATTATCTGAAATAAAAGAGTCTAGTCATAATAATGAATTTGATGCATCAATATGTAATGATATTTATACTTACATACAAATTATTCAAAATGACTGTCAAAGAATTGAAGATTATAATTTGTTTTCAAATAAAGATTATACAATTCAAAATATTTATGGTAGTACATTCTTTATTACTATAACTAACAATAAATAATATATATTTTTATGAAAAAAGATAATAAGCAAATATCCAAGTCAATACAAATTGTAAATAATTATAAACATTACAATGAAAATATAGATAAATTTGAACATGAAGTTTATTTTCATGTTGAAGAAATCATCAAATCTATTTGGCTAACTACAAATATTTTGAACATGTATCATAAAGAAAAGTAAGCATTTACAAATAATAACATTTTTCTATTAAATTTGCTTTGGAATATATGTAAAGTGTTTATATCTTAATAAAATATTTTTTTAATCATTAGCTCTCATTTGAATGAACAAATGAATAATAACTATCACAAATTAAGTACTCAAAATAGTTTTCTAAGTGTTGAAATAAATGAGTTCAATAAAACAGATATTAAAATAAAAAAAGCTGTTACCAAGTGGAAAAAAAAGACTTAAACAAAAAAATGATCAAAATTTCTTGTTGGCTAATGAAACCCAAACACTAATATTGAAGTATCAGCAAAAAGTGTATGTTTATGATTAGTAGAAAAAGTAATATTTAAGAGATTAATACATTTTTAACATGCATATTTACTAGATATACATACAGTCATAAATAATATAAGACTCATTCTTTCCTTGTCTAAGAATTTTTTTAAACATTGTAGAATTTCAATTCATAGTAAAGTACATAGTGAATTTGAGTTCCTTTCTTGTTTCCTACACAGGACATTAATATATTTAATCTTTATCTGTTTAATTGAATTTATTAATTAAAATATTTAGAAAGTATAAAAATTTCATTATTATCAAATATATGTTAAGTAAGAGAAATTTATCAATTACTTTTTTTAATTTATAAATGGTGGTTAAAGTGGGAAAAATGTTGAGGGGACTATATTCATAAAAAATTGAGGAGCGTTCCCTTTCCTTATTTAAAATCTTACCAACCTTTTTTAGGAAACCCATGTGAGTTCTAAGCCTCTTCTGTTACACATATATGTTCATAAAACTTTATTTTCATAGGGTGTTAAAACAAATTTCCCCCCAAAAAAATAATTCCTATACATATGCTTGCTCAAAAAATAAATTGAAAAACATAATAGGTAATGTTTTAAAACTTAACTTAACTTAACAAAACTAAAAAGAAACAATTTCTAACCTTGCTAGTTGTTGGTCAACGTAGACAATAACAAATACGTACATTGCACATAAGGTGTGTACTGTCTATATTATAAGATAGTGTCTATCCTCTATCATAATTTAATATTTATTTACTATTTATAGTCATTCTATTCTGTTTATATTTATTCTAAATAATACTCGATATCACTATCACTTTAATTTTAGAGCTATGGGTAATAACCGCTCGGGGATCATCTATAACTAGACACAGCGTCAATTAAATTAACCCATAGTGTACATTATCTACAATTTTTGCTTATCGTTATACCTAAATATTATTTCTTCGAAATTTTTTCCACTTGTTCAAATAAATCAAGAAAATAAATTTCATGTAAATTGTAATATTATAATAAGTATTGTATATTCAATATTGTATTTTAGTGACCAATGCCATTAAGCGTCCACCCGGACTTTTGGCGACTTAAATTAAAGAGGACGCATATAGGTACTTACCTTAAATAAGAAAGGGGAATCCGTTCCCATTCGACACCCTCACTTTAACCACTGTTTATAAATGATATAGAATAAAATTTTAGCCTTTGAGGTGACAAATAAAAACTTTTTATGTATATTTTTTTTTCAATAAGAAACTGGACATTTGTTATTTTTTTGGAAGTTAAATGCAATCACTAATATTTATTTTAAATTAATAAATAAATCATTAAAATTAATTTTTGTAAGTAACAAAATATACTGTGGGAGTTGTATTTTACTAACTTATTTAGACTGTAATAACTTATAAAAAGTGTTCGGGATTTATAGCAGTTAAAAACCTAATAATAAACGCTAAAATGTGCACATAAAAATCGGAAAATATGCATGTAAAAAATGAATAAATATGCAATTAATTTATTTATAATTAATAATTAGTATAATATAAAAAATGTAAAAAAAAACAAATAATTGTTAACTCGTTTCTTAAAAATAGTTACCTTCCCAGTTTGTTTAATTTTATTCGTCAATTATACAATGATTGGAAAAATTAAAAATTAAAATTTCCATTTACATACAAGTTTTTAAATGTAAATACTCTTCTATTACAAAATAAGCACTTAAACGTAAATACAATCACTTTTTTGCAGTCTATGAAATATGCAAAAAATTGCACATTCCAATTTTAGATTTAGTATCATGGCATCGAGAAATGGATTTATTTCGCATTCAGCTATATTTTACAATAAATAACAAAAGTTTCGAACCCTGTTTATAAGTCATATTAATAGAAATAAATAAATTACAACACAAGTTTAATATTTTACTTATGAAAATTTGAGTACCTAACATTAAAAATAAAAACCTACTAATTATTGTACCTTAAATTTATAGTTATTATGTTATTATTATGTATAGATTATAAGTATACTGTTATTACTTTTTAGTATAATTTAGGTTAATGGTAAAGAATAATATAATGAACAGAGCTCTATCAATGACAAAAATGTTATCATTGAAAATCAAGTATTTAAAATTGGAAATTTGTATAATTTGGGTGGGAGATTCAATTTTGAAAATGTATAAAAAAAATAATAAACTTATTAAAATAAATCAGCAGAAATTAAATTTTTATAATGATCTTCAATCTCGAATGGAAAACATCATCAAAACAATTAATAAAGATTTGTATAATATTACGCATGCTAATTCCAATATTAAAAATCATATATCTAATCACATAAGAATATATAATGAAGTTAAGAAAATTACCGAAGAAAAATTCCTGCAACTACACGTCTTAAATAATACGATTTATGTTACTGAAGAACAACTAATTAACAGGTTAGGTTTTTCATTATTAACTTCATAATATTTCATAAATGTCAGAATGCCTGATGAGGAACTAGTATGCAGAATTTATTTTTTGTTATACTTAACTATAGATACATGAACTAAAAATAATAATTTTAATGTTTTATAGATAAGTAAATTAGTTGATAGTTAATCAAAATAATAAAATTAATTAGTTTTGACAATTTTGATAATGTATTGTACCTAAATACAAAATAATAATCATATGAAACAATACAGTGCTCTCAGATTATTGAATGTCTAGACTTAATAATATATTATAGACATCCCAAGAAAAATACAATTATAAATTATAATAAATAATAATAATTATAAATTATTAAGTCTAAAATGTTTTAATTAATTTCATACCTAACTTAATGAGATTTACGGGTATATAATATTACACTCTGAACCTTTTCAAATCAATAGTATAGCCTGTCTTATAAAAGATACTTTTTTAAAAATATTCAAATACAAATATAGATGTTACCTTTACCTGTTTTCAAAAGTATTTAAAATACGTATTTGAATATTTTAATAGAAAAATATTCAAGGACAAATACAGATAAATTGAAAAAAAATTTTGTAAAAAAGCATTTGAAAATAGTAATTTATTTTAAAAACAAATACCTCTGGGAAAGTATTCAAAATATTATGTCTAAGTATTTTTTCATAAATATTTAAAATACGAATTGTAGTCTATGAAAAGTATTTGAATACTTTTATTCAAATACTTTTACTCGAGTAGGTGCTTTTCAAGACTGGGCATAGCCACAAAATAAGTTAATTAATTTATTCTATAGTAGGTATAGTAAAGGATTATTATTACGCTTATTTATTTAAGTAGCTATATATAATATATTACTTATTAATTAGTTATTTCTTGAAATAATTAAAATGTGTTTTAAATAATAGTCAGAAGTATATAAAAAAAATTGAACATAAGATAAATGAAAACCAGAATGAAATTATTATTAAAAGTCAACAAATCGAGGATGGAAATACTGAAATTGAAAGTCTCAAAGAAAATATTGATAATAAATATAAACTAATATTAGCCTCTCAACAATTAATCGAAAAAAAACAATCAAAATTAAAGGTAAAATATTAAGTTATTGATCATGGACTTTTCCATCTATAAAAATGATACCTCCAAAACTTTTTATTTCATCAACATACCGTATCAAGTTCTATAACTTAGTAGAACAAGAGATGAATTTAAATTTTAAATTAAAATGATATTGATAATGCAATTGATAAATTTACTTCGATCGTCTAAATAGCGGCCTAGGAGTCACAGACAAATCCAAATAATCCTGTAACTCA